AAGATTGCCATGGTAACTGAGGTCTCTAGTCACAAGCCACCCAGTTTGCCCACAGTACTCTTTTCTTTTACTTTATTTCTTAAGACAGGGTTTCTTTGTGTAGCTTTGGAGTCTGTCCTGTCACTCGCTCTGTATACATAACATGCTGGCCTCAAACTCACATAGATCCACTGGCCTTTGCTTCCCAAGTGCTGGGATTAAAGGAGTGCACCACGACTGCCTGGTCCACAGTATTCTTTTAAAGGAGAAAAGTTCTTAGGGCCTTTCCTTGATTTATCATCATTATTTTTAAAAATTTATTTATTTTAATTTGTTGCTTATCTGTGTTTTACCTGCATGTATATCTGCGCACCATGTGTATGCCTGGTGCTCATGGAGACTAGAAGAAGGGATGGAATTATATGGAACTCGAGTTACAAGTTGTGAGCCCCATGTGGGTTCTAGGAATTGAACCCTGGGCCTCTGGAAGAGAAGCCATTGCTTTTAACACTGAACTATCACTTCAGCCCCTGCAATAGTATTCTTAAAGCGGTGGCTCTGAGTACCTGCAAACTAAATGAATACTTCCTCATTTCGCTATCTCCAGCTAGCAATCAAGCCAGAAATTTTCAATAGTGAGTGCGTGTGTGGGCACGTACAGACCACGGTGAAGTATGGAAGTTAGAGAACAACTTGAGAGTCAGTTCTCTTCTTCCACGATGTGGGTTCCGAGGACTGAGCTCAGATTATGAGGACTGGCAGCCAAGCACCCTTTATCTGCATCTTGCCAGCCTGCACTGACCAAAAAAACGTCATTTATTTATTTGTTTTTTTGGGACAGGGTATCTCTGTGTAACTTTGGAGGCTGTCCTGGAACTTGCTTGGTAGACCAGGCTGGTCTGGAACTCAAAGACATCCACCTGCCTCTGCCTTCTGAGTGCTGGGATTAAAGGTGTGCGCCACCACTTCCCGGCAAAAAAATTCATAACTTGTTTTTATTTTTTATGTTCATTGGTGTTTTGCCTGCATATATGTCTGTGTGAGGGTATCAGAAGCCCTGGAACTAGAGTTACAGACAGGTGTGAGCTGTCATGAGGGAGCTAGGAATTCAACTCAAGTCCTCTGGAAGAGCAGCCAGTGCTCTTATCCGCTGAGTCATCTCTCCAGGCCCTGATCAAATTCTTTAAAAGATTTATTTTTATTTTTTATTTGTATTTGCCTGTGTAAGTGTATATATATATATGTGTGTGTGATGTGTGTGCCAGTGCCAGTAAAGAGCAGAAGATGTCGGATCCTTTGGAACTAGAGTTAGAGATAATCATGAGCTATGTACCATGGGTGCTGGGAACCAACTAGGGTCTTCCAGGGGAGCTGCAAGTGCTCTAAACCGTGGAGCCATCGCTCCAATGTCGGATCAAACTCTGAGCCTCATCTCTTCTTTGATGAGCGGCAACCAAGGACAGACTTGTCCAAGTTGGAGTCTCATACACTGATTCTTGATGTTTAACTGTGGCCACATGGTATAGTTAATAAAGTTTTGCTGGTTATTTTTCTTTTAGATTTTAAAATAAGTTGGAAAAGTTGTGTCTTGAAGACCTGAATCTATCTCATTAAGTCCTATCCTCAATACAGAGGCCTGATGAGGTAGGTTTGGTCTTCTTTTCCTAACTGTGGGATGTCAACATAATTTGTTAGATGTTTTGGTAAGAAAGGAAATGAAAAGCCACATGCTAAAGATTTTAGGATCATAATATATTATATACACACACTTAAAAATTTTGCTTTTTATTTATGTCTATGTGTATGTGCCATGTGAGTTAATGTGTACCATGTACATATAGGAAGTCAGAGGGTCACCTAATGTGGGTGCTGGGAACCAAATCCAGTTGTCTGAAAGAGCAAGCAATAAGTGATCCTAACTGTTGAGTCATCTCTCCAGGGCCATCATAAGATATCAATAATCTTACTCAAGAGGCTATATTGTACCTGCAATAAAGGCCCTTGCTAAAATAAAAATTAATTACATATATTTTCCATTAATTTATGTGTCAATTTTGTAACTGAGTATATAATAGCATGGTTGGGCCTCATTCACTGGGCTACATCCAGTCATCAATGAAGTCTTCAACATAGGATGAGCCAGGGTCACACTTACCCCCATCCCTAATGTCAGTCTTAAAGGTTCCATCACAGCCACAGACATATTTACTCTTCAGAAACTAGTTTTTTCTCTAAAACATTCAGTTAAATCACCTCCAAAGTTAACTACTTCACACAGGAGTCTTTGTGCTGTTCTTGGACAATCATACAACAATTCACTTGAGGTGAACTTTTGACAGTCATTAGCTGCCAGCTGGTTCCTAACTCCCGACTATGCTTCACCCAAAGTTTTGCTTTCTCATAGTAAAGAGCCCTACTCTCCTGTCTTCTCTGGATCTTCACTAGCTCTATCTGGTCCTCTGGGAGACATAACTAAACTGCACACAGTTTTCCTGGAGAGCCCAGTACAAAAGTGGAAAAATCTATCCTTTCATATTTGAAGTGATGCTGCTTTTCCTCACAAAGCATTCCCACATGATGATGGCTTAGAAAGGTGAAATGGCTTGCTTAGATCAAAGAGCCAGTAGAGCCAGTTATCTGACACATATTAGGCAGACAAATACACTCAAAGCTATTACCCCAAGTACTCTGCGGCCACCAGCTGAAATGGAGATCTTACCTCCAGAGATATTACACTGATCCCTAAATAAAACAGCCTTGACACTGAGCACCAAGGAGGCTGTCTTCAACAGCAGTGCAGCAAACCCTTATCACTGCCCACTGAACAAATAAACAAACAAGTACTTGAGTTCTCCAGTGGGTTTTAGCTTTTGAGAAGTACTGGGCATTGAACCCAGGGCCTCATGAATGCTAAATACATACTATACTACTAAGCTTTACCCTGAGCCCTTCTAAAGAAAACTTTTTAATGTGGACTCCATCAAGAGGCTTAAAGTCATTTATAGGTACTAGTTGCCTTGTATCCACTTGCTAGACAGCTTACTGTTTAGAAATCATACCATCCCTACCAGCAATAGGTTATTATGTATGTATTCAGCACATGCCCTCTATCACCAGGTACTTAAGTTTATACAATTCAGATTTTCTGTGTCATACTTAGAAACCACTATATCCTTCTAGGATTTTAGCATTAAAAAAGAATTACCAAATAATGGTTTTCAGACCTTAAATAATCTGAATGAATTCACATGTCTAATTTTTCATTTAGTCACCCTTAAAGTGTGGCTAATAATATTGCCTATTATTCCCTAGCATCAGTTATCTCAGACGAGAAGCCTCATCTTTCCCACAGCCCAATAAAAATCCACATTGCCTTTTTTGTTCCTGATCATCCAAACACTATTCATGCTTTGGAATTGGCTTCCCATCTTGTCTTCCAGCTTTCCTAGACCTTGCTATTCTCTACTATTGCCCTCTTCCATCATCGTTTTCTAGTTACCCTGGTTACTGTGCATACTATCCCCACTGAACTATTAAATCTCGTTCCCTTACTGAGCTCTCAAAAGGTGAAGACCACAACATTCACTGTCCTAGGAATTCCCTCATCATCTAGCACTATGGAATGTAGACTCATATTCAATACAACCAATATCTGTTTTTCTTATCAGGATAATCTTCTTTAAGTGGTCTATGGCAATAACACTTTCCTTCCTTACTGAGGTGGGTGGGGTAGTAGTGGGAATGGAGATTGAACCCAAGGCTTTGTACATCTAGGCAAGTGCTCTACCACTGAGCTATAGTCCAATCTCAATTTATAGCATTGAACAAAATTCCCTCTTCCACAGGCTCTGCTCTTACAACTCAGAGTAATCTTCCACTGCCACCACAAAGCTGGTAAGTTGGCTGGTGAAAAGAAAATGGGGGCAGGGTGTATCTGTATTGTGAAGGTCAACATACTATGTAAACTGAAACCTGAAGAGTACTCCAACACTTAAACTTCTGAATGTGTGAAGCAATCTGTTAGGGACTTTCATATAAAATATTTTATGTTGCTTTTAAGGAATTAATATTTTATCCATCAGTGTCAGATTTAGCAGAAAAATCAAATTTTAAAAAAGTAACATTTTTCTTTTAACAGTTATAATACAAAAACAACAGCTTAAAGAAATTAGGTTATCTAGACAGAATCAGACAATCATCTTGTTCTGAGGAGAGTTAAGCCACTGCAAATTCAAGTTAATATACATTCTTCCCTCTGTGTAACTTCTTTTTTTTTTTTTTTTTTTTTGGTTTTTCGAGACAGGGTTTCTCTGTGGCTTTGGAGGCTGTCCTGGAACTAGCTCTTGTAGACCAGGCTGGCCTTGAACTCAGAGATCCGTTTGCCTCTGCCTCCTGAGTGCTGGGATTAAAGGCGTGCGCCACCACCGCCCGGCTGTGTAACTTCTTAAACAGTTTTCTGTAATATCAAAGACCCTCGAAATAACAGTTCTAGATTCCTCCAGTTCAGCACATATTGGGAAATAAAGTTTTATAATTACAATGACGCAGTAAGGACTAAACAAGTACTTTTATCAAATAACATCTTAGCTTTCAGTGACCATCCTACATGGTCATTAAAGAAAATCATCTGGGCATGTAGTTCAGTGGTCAATGGCTTGTCTAGCCTGGGCAAGGCTCTAGGTTCCATGGACAAGGCCACACAATTTTTAAAAAACTGATGAGAGAGAGAAGCAATTAGGAAGTGTTGAAGATATAAGAAACTAATTCAATGTACCTATAATATGTAGAAAGTTATGAACTTTGGTTCTTACCTGAGGGATATTACTATTGGCCCCAGAATAATTTTTGCCAGATATGAAAGGATATCACCTTTTATTTAGGCATGAAGCCAGAACGAGGTGCCATTTTTTTTTCACATACTTCAGTAAGCCTGAATTAAGGAGTCTCAGAACATTCCCAAATCAGCTCAGACTCAGAGTAGTACCCCAAGGCAACATGAACTCTCAGGGAATACTACTCACTGGTCTTCTGTTCCAAAAAACTTCACAAAGAAACATTTCTTTCCACGTGGTTTCTTTAAGTCCTTAGGTGGATTAACAATCTGAAGGATAAAAGGGAAAAAGATGGTATGATAACACAGTAACATACTAGGAAAGTAATTTGCCATAGCTCTAACTAGGCTGGGGGAAAGGGAAAAAAAAAAAAAACAACAAAGAAACCAAAGCTTCATATTTGCCCATACCCGGCATTTTTCTATTGTGATGCGCAGAAATGTGCAAACATTACTTAAATAACCCATAGCTAACAGACTGTGTACTGTTTAGTAGATACAGTTTTTACTGCAATGGCTCCTGGTATACAAGCAGCAATATCACCCCTACCCCCATGTGATATGTGATCAACAAAGAAACTTTCTTCAAAATGCTTTCAACAAGAGTTAAGGACAGGAAATGGTGAAAATAAAGGGTCACTCAGGCATAGGAAACACCATATTGCAAAGAGTCTACAGACATATCCTGGACTGCCAGCAAGACTAAAAAACCAGAACATTTGGAAAGCTCTGATGGATCACCCCTTGAAAAATCTGGAATGTCAACTTCTGCAGATGTATACTGGAGCAGCACATATGGTAACAGGGGAAGATTTAAACTTAGTTGGGACAAAAATACTTTGGCTTTTCACTAACCTACATTTAGACTTCTCTCTTCTTGGAGAATCTGTTTCTTCTCATGCACAATGCTACATTCTGATCACAATTGACTTCCAAGATAAGAAACAACAACAAATTTCACAAGTCATCTCTGACTGATGAAAGATATGATTACAGCACATTAAATACTCTGGTTTATGATATACCTTCAAAACTGATAACTAGAGGTAACATACTAAGTCATATGTGAATGAGCCCATTTTAAGTCAGTGGTGGAGACTGAGGGAAATGCAGCACATTCTAGAACCCACACCCCTAACTCAACTTCAGATGTCTTCCATTAATAGCAGCAATACACTCACCTTTCCTGGCCAGGGAGGATATCGGCCCAGTTTCCCCCTAGAGAAAATAATACAGAGTCAGAACTTGCCCTGGAAAAGCCAGTCCATCTCCTTCAGCCCACTCAACAAGCAATTTGTACTCCTATAACTCTAGTCTGGCACTTTCAAGGGCCAGAACAAAAGCAGGCAAACTGGGCCTTCCACAGCTGGGTTGAGGATCCTCACACATGTAAATACAGAAGTGTGTGTGTGTGTGTGTGTGTGTGTGTGTGTGTGTGTGCATGTGCGCGCCCAAACGCGGCCACACCGAGGTCTCTACATTCTTCTACTGAGAAGGAATACAGAATAACAAAAGCTAAGAGCCAGTGGTCTGGGGCGTCCCAGTGACAGGGTTGGATACAGTTCTCTCTGTAAACAGAGGTCCCCTAAGTCTGGTTTATTCACCACAAGATCAACCTTCCTTTGACAAATGATCATGGAAACCTTCCTCTAGGTCGGGAAACTACGCAGCTCCAAGGAGACAATGGTCAGTCCTGATTCTGGCTGTTGTCGAGGACAGAAGGAACACAACAAGAGGCACTGGTCACCGCCTAGCCATCACTCGCAAAGGAGAAGTGCCCCCTCCCCTCGGTTTCTTCATGGGGCAGCTCCAGGCAGTCTGATTTCGTCACCTAGAACCGAGGCCTCGAGCCCACGTCTGTCCCATCGGACGCGGGTTTGGACGGCTGTCCCCGGCGAGGTAGCCTCTCCTGCTATGAGAGGAGCCCCGGAGAGACCCTGGGACTCGGGAACTCGCGCGACAACGGAGTTCTCTGCACTGGCAGCCAGCGTCCGGGTTCCAGAGCCATAGCCCTCCCCTGGGATGGCCTCGGGGTTCAGAGCCCGGATTGTCGCGGCCACCCTCGGCCTCGGTCCCCCGGGGACCGGACAGCCCCTTCCGCCCAAGCGTCGTTCGCAGCGCGGCGGCCCCTCGTCTTCCCCACTCTCCGCCACCAGGAGCGCATAATAAAGCCAGTCGCCATCGCTGCACCTAGGAAAAAAAGCTTCGCGCCGTCTTTCCCTCAGCCCTGGCCGCCGGGACTCACCACACCAAGTCGCCGAGCCGCAGACTCACAGCCGCCATCTTACCACCCAACCACCGCCGCCGCACAGGCAGCCGGGAACTTCAGGTCGCCGCGGCACCGCCCATTGGAGTGGGCCTGACCACGTGACGGGGGCCTGCTGTCATCCGCCAAACGGGTGCTCTGACGTCACCGCGCCGGTGGCGCTCATTGGGCGGCTTGGAGACCCGTGACTTAAGCGCCGCGTTCTCAGCGCGTCGAAGCCCTGAGACTCCGGGCTCCTGTCCCCTCCTCCCTCCGGCTCGTGACAACGAAGCGTCCACGGTCCATAGGAGCCGCGGCGGAGGTGGCGCGGCCGGACTAGCGCGAAAGGAAGCCGACTGAGCTGCCCACCTCGCTTCCGGGGCTCTGGACTCATCTCAAGTCTTTCTGGCCGCTTCCGTTACGGCCGTTAGTCGGGCGCGGGCCCCGGGCCGTTCCTGAGCCCTGAGGTGCCGGGCGGACGGGTCTTGGAGCTCGGGTGCTGCCCTGACTGACCCCGGCGCGGCCTGGAAGCCCGTCTCGGTCCAAGCCGAGAGGCACTGGTTTCCCGCGTGCCCGCGCTCGGGGCGGGAGTTCCAGCCTGCTGAGGAGCGCCCCGCTCGACGGTCGGTTTCCGGAGCCGCGTCCGCGCCAAGCGTCCTCGGCGTCGCCCGACTTGTTTTCTTGGACGTGGACTTGGCATATCTCCGCTCCCCCACCCCCACCCCCGCCCGGCTGGCGAGAGAAAGCGGCGGTTTGTAGTGAGGCTCCCTTCCCACGGGCTGGGGACCCGGCCATGGGCCGCGGCGCGGGCCCTCCGCACGCCCGCACGCAGCGTTCGGGAGCGGGCCGCTGAGCCGCGCCGCACCCCGGGACTCCCGGGCCGGCATGAGGACCGCCACGGGGGGACGTCTGCGGCCCGCGTCGGCTCTGTGGACAACGGTGTGTGCCGCGGTCCGGTCCAGCCTCCCGCGTTAGCCTTTGTAAGTAGTGTCACACTTTGCAAGAAGTTGTGACAGCTGGAAGACAGATGACAGCGTAGTGGGAACTGTTGGCTACCCAGGGGCAGGGCGGCCGCCCTAACTTCCGCAGATGGGGTTGAAGCCTGACTTTTGAGTAAGAAAGTGGCACTCCTAGAACAGACGGCTGGGAGTACGTGGACTTAACTTACAGCTTACTTTCTTGAGTCAGTGCCGGCTCGGAAGGTCATGCCCATTTCCCCAAGGCAGTGTCCCCACATAGAGGCTTTGATTGTAAATTGCTCCGGGGGCCTTAGGGTGAAGCTGGGTGGGTGCTTTGGGTTGACCCCAGCCTGTTTTTTTTTCCTTTGGAAACAAGCTCTCAGAAGTACACAGATTAGTTACAGGGATTTACACTGTGTGTTATTTTAAACACAAACTGACCATTTAATATTTCATAAAATTTCTTAATAAAATCCAGTAAGTGTTCTTAATTTAGAAATTAGAATTTTGGAGGAATTAAGAATATTCTTTAAATATAAATCTTTACAACTAGACCTAGAAGTGATCCCATTAAAGTAAGGAATAGGGCAAAAGATACATTGTCTAATTCTAGCTAATGAAAGGGGACAGCTATCTAATTCTAGCTAATGAAATAAGGTAGGAAACAAAATTAAATGTGAAAGAAAAGTTTTCATTTCTGTAGATAATCAAACTGCATTTTGCAACAAAAAGAGAAAAGCCATTAAATAAGGAAAAATTAATGATAAAATTAGCATACACGTTTCTCTTGTTTCATCAGTAGTCTGTTCAAAAAGTATAATGGTTAAAATGTATGAGAACAAAAACAGTCCCTGGGAGTACCTGTAGATATAGAGGAATCCAGGGGCTTTTGCATAATCTGTCCCCCCCCCCTTCTGGTTTTTCAAGGCAGGTTTGGTTTCTCTGTAGCCCTGGCTCTTCTGGAACTCTGTACACCAGGCTGCCTTGAACTCAAAAAGATCTACCTACTTCTACTGAGATTAAAGGCATGCACCACCACCTCTCTAGCCACAATCTTTTTTAAAAAGAATTTTTCTCCCCCTTTGTGGCATTCTAATATTTAACTCATTCGGAGTATTTAAAACCTAATCTCATAACCAGGGCTATACGGAGAAACCCTGTCTCAAAAAAAAAAAAATACAACAACAACAACAACAACAAAAAAAAACCAATCCCTAGGTTTGTGTTTGTGTTTTTTTCCTTTTTGTCATTTTATTTGGAGATAGTTTCATGTAATCCATGCTGACTCCTTATGTAGCCAAGAGTAATTTTAAACTTCTGATCCTCCTGCCTCTGCTTCCACAATGCTAAATTTACAGGTGTATATTACCATTCCCAGTTTACACACTGTGGCAATTTGGAACCAAGGGCCTCCAGTGTACTAGGAAAGCACTCAACTGAGCTACATCTCCAGCCCATTCTTAGTTATTTTTAAGACTTGTGGAATTTCATTAATGTTTTGTTTACAAATTTAAGAATTTATATGTCAAAAAATTACTTGAGGGTCTGCAAGATGGTTCAGCAGATAAGGGTGCCTGCCTCCAAGCCTGAAGACCTACATTCAGTCCCCGGAACCCACATGATGAAATGAAAGAACCAACTTCTGTAAGTTTTCACACATGCACACACATGCATACATGCATGTGAAAGTAAAACTTGGACAAATGTTTGAGACAACACCAGTTTAAACAGATTAAATTTTCTTAACTAATTTAAGCCAGGTTGATTAAATTCTCTTAAGTATTTTAAACTACATGTAATTTTTTTCTTAATTCTCTCGGATACTTTATATTTCTTTTCTCTCTTTTTTTCCTTCTGGTGGTGGAGGTGGGGGGGAGGTTTCCAGCCCTGGCAACTTGATCTGTAGACCAAGCTATAGTTCTTGGCCTCAAACCCAAGAGATCTACCTGTCTATGCCTTCTGAGTGCTGGGATTAAAGACATGTGCCACCAATCCCCTACCTGGTACTACTACTTTTTTTTTTTTTTTTTTTGGTTTCTCAAGTCATGCTATTTCTGTGGCTTTGGAGGCTGTCCTGGAACTCGCTCTGTAGACCAGGCTGGCTTCGAACTCAGAGATCCACCTGCTTCTGCCTCCCGAGTGCTGGGACTAAAGGCATGCACCACCAACGTCTGGCGCTACTTCATTTTTTTTTGTTTGTTTGTTTTTTGTATTTTTGTTTTTCGAGACAGGGTTTCTCTGTATTGTTTTGGAGCCTGTCCTGGAACTCGCTCTGTAGACCAGGCTGGCCTCGAACTCACAGAGATCCGCCTGCCTCTGCCTCCCGAGTGCTGGAATTAAAGGCGTGTGCCACCAATGCCCGGCGCTACTTCATATTTCTAAAGAGATGAACTTCTAGTAAGTTCTTTCCAAGATCATAACTCATAAATTTAATTGTATAAGTGCAATTCAGGTTCTTTTATGGACTTTAGAACTTAATTACATTTTCTTAAGTATTTGGAATTAAATGCATAAGTTTAACATGACTTTTAATATATCTGATTGTCTTAAATTGTTTCAAATGGCCTACCCAAGAACAAAATAGTATGTTGTGGTGATCATAAAACTTCTTAAAATCTGACTTGTAAGAGTTTGTAGGTGATTTACTTTGTCCTCTAGTCTGTCTCCTGCTGGCTAAGGCTTGCACAGACTATTATAGCTAACAGGAGTATTGTTACTGGCTATGTGGGTTTGAGGTGTGCCCTCTAAAAACCTGGACTGACATGAGGTTACATTTTAAAAATTTTGGCTGGACTGAAAGACTAGGATCTGGTTGCCACTTTCTTCATCCAATTGAGTAACTTGCTGATCCATTTCTTACAGTAAGATTGTGCTTCCTTTCAGTGGGGAGCCTATAAGTCTTTAACTTTCAGTTCAGGTTTATTTTCTCAGTCAGGTGAATTTTTTCATCCATGTCATGAGACCCTTGGAAGTTTCTTTTAGGGTTCTTTATTTCCAGTATCCTAGTGCGTGTTGGTAATCATTTTCTACAGGCCAATCTATTTTACTGCTTCATGCCTGATTAGAATGATTTTTTTAAAAACTCATTTGTGTAGGTTTTACTCCCTTATTTGATCTTTACCACGTTCTTATGATAGTGAATTTTGACTATATCATAGTAATCTATGTAAATGCATATATGTGGAGATAGACAAATCATCCTGAATGAATTCATATTTATTATGCATTTTGTGAAATACAGTCACATTTTGGGGGTAACTTGCACAAATGAGTCTAAAATTGTTCTCAAATAGATTGAAAGCCGGTTATCATTATTTATTTATTTACTTTTTGTTTTTTCGAGACAGGGTTTCTCTGTGGCTGTGGAGGCTGTCCTGGAACTAGCTCTTGTAGATCAGGCTGGTCTTGAACTCACAGAGATTCGCCTGCCTCTGCCTCTCGAGTTTTGGGACTAAAGGCATGCACCACCAATGCCCGGCAAGTTATTATTTACTAGCTTGTTATTATTTTATGTGCATTGGTTTTTTTTTTAAAGATTTATTTATTTATTATGAATACAACATCTTGCCTTATGTATGTCTGCATGCCAGAAGAGGGCACCAGATCTCATTATGGATGGTTTGTGAGCGACCATGTGGTTGCTGGGAATTGAACCCAGGTCCACTGGAAGAACAGCCTATGATCTTAACCGCTGAGCTATCTCTCCAGCCCCTAGTTGTTCTTTTTAAAAAGAAAATAAAGATTAACTTTTAATTTTAGTATACTAAAAGTATAAGAGTTTTCAAGACAGAGCAGTACTAGTTAAAGAATTTCACAAGTACTTGATTAATATAACATGACTTTTAGCATGGACCATAAGTATATGAAGTCTGCTTTGGTCTATGACAAATCAGCAGGGAAAGGAAGCTTATTCAGTAATTGGTACTGGGGAACAAACAAGTTAGAGCCTATTCTCAGACCTTAGACCTTAGAGCATATTAAGTTCAATTTAGATTAGAGTTAAAAGTGAATATCTATAAAAGACTTACTGTGTGATTTCTTCTATATGGTTTGTTTACAAAGGGCTTTCTAGGCACAAAGGAAATGAGAAAAAACAAGTTTGACTGCATCAATACACAGGATTTTGACCTGAGTTATTTGATGTGGAATTATTTCTAAAATAGGAAAAATTTATATTTACAACTGTTTACTTAAATGAGTTAAGGAAAATTTAATTTATCAATGGATTCTTCTTGACAAGGAATTTTTTTATTTGTGTATTGACAACTATTTTTGTTATTTTGAAAATGCTTATCTTTGTTGTTTTAGTTTGACGTGGCCCTTCTTTTTAATGTTAACAGAAATCATGCTGTGACACCTGCTAAGACTTGTTGGTAGCCATGTCGGAGCCCCACAGGGTCCAGTTCACCTCTCTCCCAGGTCCTTTGAATCCTGCATTTTTGAAGAAGTCCAGGAAAGAGGAAGTTGGAGGAACAGAACAGCATCAAGACTGTGAGCCAGCTGCAGCTGCTGTTCGGATTACACTCACCCTCTTTGAACCAGATCACAAACGCTGCCCAGAGTTCTTCTATCCAGAGTTGGTGAAGAACATCCGAGGGAAGGTGAAAGGCCTTCATTCCGGAGACAAGGTACATTCCAGTAGATCCACAGTTGCTCTGCAGACCTAACATGAAGACACCAAAATGTTCACATGGGCCTTTCTTTATATCAGGGAAGGGAGGCTAGAGAGGCCAGGGCTTCCCCAAGATTACCACTTATCTAGAGCAAGTACTAGGTGGGAAGAGAATTCTTTTAAGATTCTTCTCTTAACATGCATCTCTTCTGACCAGTAGTATCTATCTTGGAGTAGTTTCTGTTTCTGGATGTATAAAATCTGCTTCTGCTTGTGCTTTTTTTTTTTTTTAACTCTTACTTTTTTTTTTTTTTTTTTGGTTTCTCTGTGTAGCTTTTGGAGTATAACCTGGCACTCACTCTGTAGACCAAGATGGCCTCAAACTCACAGAGATCCGTTTGCCTTTGCCTCCTGAGTGCTGGGATAAAGGAGTGTGCCAACACTGCTCTGCCTAAACTATTACTTGTTTTTTTTTTATAATTTACTTTTGGCCGGGTGTTGGTGGAGCACACCTTTAATCCCAGCACTCAGGAGGCAGAGGCAGGTGGATCTCTGTGAGTTCGAGGCCAGCCTTGTCTACAGAGTGAGTTCCAGGACAGCTTCCAAAACAATATAGAGAAACCCTGTCTCGAAAAACAAACAAACAAAAAAATTATTTTTGCCATAATTGGCTTTGTAGGCTTCAAGCTGTTTGAAAATAAGATTGATTTCTTTTTTTTTTTTTTTTGGTTTTACGAGACAGGGTTTCTCTGTTTCGGAGGCTGTCGGTCCAGCCTGGCCTCGAACTCACAGAGATCCACCTGCCTCTGCCTCCCGAGTGCTGGGATTAAAGGCGTGCGCCACCAACGCCCGGCATAAGATTGATTTCTTAAAAATTATTTTTAACTGATCCATTTTTTAAAATATTTATTTATTATGTATACAGTGCTGCATGTATACCTGCACACCAGAAAAGGGTCTTTTCTTTTTTTAATTTTTTTTTTACTTTTTTTTTGCTATGGGGAGGGGATGTGAGGTGTGCGTGTGTGTGTGTGTGTGTGTGTGTGTGTGTGTGTGTGAGAGAGAGAGAGAGAGAGAGAGAGAGAGAGAGAGAGAGAGAGAGAGCGAGGGAGGGAGGGAGAGAGGCAGGGAGTGAGGAGAGGGAGAGAGAGAACATACCACTTGTGGAAGTTATAACTTTCCTTCTATTATGTAAGACCTGGGAATGAAACTCAGGGTAGGAGGTGCCAAGAGTCTCATGTTGCCTAGACTGACCTTGATGTATTTCTTTCCTTGACACATTTATTTTATTTTTTAGTATAGAACTTCCAAACATGTATGCTTTCAAATATGCATAGAAGTAGATAGTACAGTATAAGCAGCACCAATGTACCTGTTACCCATCTTCAACTGTTAACAGTGTTGCCCATTCATTAACTTTTTTTGTCTTCTTTTTGTCTTTCCTTCTTTCTTTCTTTCTTTCTTTCTTTCTTTCTTTCTTTCTTTCTTTCTCTGTCTCTTTTATTTGTTTATTTTTTTTTGAGACAGGATTCTTTGTGTGGCTTTGGCTTTCCTGGACCTAGCTCTGTAGACCAGGCTAGCCTCAAACTCACAGAGATCTGTCCACCTGTTTCTGCTTCCCAAGTGCAGGGATTAAAGGCATGTGCTACCATTACCTGGCTCATTAACATTTTTTTTTTTTTTTTTTTTTTTGGTTTTTCGAGACAGGGTTTCTCTGTATTGTTTTGGAGGCTGTCCTGGAACTCGCTCTGTAGACCAGGCTGGCCTCAAACTCACAGAGATCCGCCTGCCTCTGCCTCCCGAGTGCTGGGATTAAAGGTGTGTGCCACCAACGCCCGGCCACTCATTTTTTAAAATGTGTGTTCTTATATAGTTTTGAAACAGTGTCTTTGTTTGCTTTCAATTATTGTGACAAACAGACCCAAAAGCAACTTGGGGAGGAAAGGGTTATTTCAGTTTATAGCTGACACTACAGGGAAGTTAAGGCAAGAACAGAAGCAGGAGCTATGGAAGAATACTGTTTATTGGCTTGCTCCTTTTGCCTTGCTTAGTTACCTTTCTTAAACAACCTAGGGGCACCTGCCCAGAGCTGACCATTCCCATATCAATCATTAATCATTAATCAATCATTAACCCCCCCCCAGACTTGCCTACAGGTCAATCTGATGGACTCATTTTCTCTGTTGCGGTCTCTTCCAAGATCACTGTAGCTTGTGTCAAGCTGACAGAAAAACCAAGTGGCATATAATCAGACTTTATAACCCAGGATGACCTTGAATTTAAGATTCTCCTGTGACAGACTCCTAAATGGCGGGATTGCATGCATAGACCACTATATTCCAACTAAAATAATCTAACAATTTTTAATTGAGTCATACATACAGGAAGAATACATATGATAAAGTTTGTGGATTTTCACAAACTCAACACAAGCCATGCAACCTGTACACAATTCACAAAATACAACATTTAACAGGATACTAGAAACACTTCTGCTTGCCTGAAAGAATACGGTCCCCCATCCTTACAGGCTACTACTGTCAATCAAGACCAGTTTTGCATGTCTTTATGTTTTTGTATATAGAATCATATATCATGAGTAGTCGCTAGATGAAGAGCATTTTAAGCATTTACTGTATACTAATTACTGTTTTAGGCTAAGAGGAGAAGGTGAGTAGGATCACACTTGTGGCATTTTGGTCTGTCTCTAGAGTGGCTTTTACTAGAACAAGGATAAGCCTAGCACCTGCCTCAGTGTTTGAGGGTGAAGTGAGATCATGTTGGTAAAGTCTCTAGCATAGTGTCTCAGTGCCAAGTACTCACTTAGGCTGACTCATTTTAGCGGTATTTGGAGGAACCATGTCTAATTAGAAGAATTCCCCACTTTTCTTAAATAAAATATTTCTTTCTTTTTTTTTTTTTGAGGCAGGGTCTCATTTATTATTCTTAAAGTTATGAGTGTTTTCCCTATACATATATATGTGTACTGCCTGTGTACCTGGTACCCATAGAAACAAGAAGGTGTCAGATTTCCTGGAACTGGAGTTACAGATGATGGTGAGCCATCATGTGGGTGCTGGGAATTGAACCCAGGTCCTTTGCAAGAGCAACCAGCACTTTCAACCACTCAGCCATTTCTCCAGCTCCATTATTTGCTTTTATGTATGAGTATTTGGTCTACATGTGTCTGTACCCTGTGTGTTACATGTGGAAGCTAGAAAGAGGGAGTTGGATCCTCTGGAGCTAGAGTTATAGAGGATTGTATGCTTCTCTGTGGGTTCTGGGAAGGGGACTCCAGGTCCTCTGCAAATACTCTTATTTGCTGAGCCATCTCTCCAGCCCAAACTGTGGTCTTGATTGATAGCTTACTAACAGAATAAAGCCAAACTGTGGTCTTGATTGATAGCTTACTAACAGAATAAAGTCAATGCATCTATATAAAGGGTCATCATGTTCTATCAGGGCCAGTAAACAGAATGAGAACAATAATTTAAAATCTGTTTACAGTTCCTTTTTCAATGTAGGGATGGTATCTTCTTCCTTAAGAGAAAGAGACATTGGGGCTGGAGAGATGGCTCAGAGGTCAAGAGCACTGGCTGTTCTTCCAGAGGTCCTGAATGCAATTCCCAGCAACCACATGGTGGCTTACAACCATCTGTAACAAGATCTGGTGCCCTCTTCTGGCCTGCAGGCAGAACACTGTATACTTACTAAAAAAAAAAAAAAAAAGACAGTCTCTTGTTTTGTGGCCTGGAACTGTTTGCTGCCTCAGCTTTAAAAAAAAAAAAAAAAGAGAGAAAGAGACATTAGCAGGAGTAGGTTAGCATATTTATCCATGGGCTCAGACCAAATGGGTAGAACAATTGAAATTAGAACTCCAGTGCTCTAACTTACCTTGTTTTTTTGTGTTTTTGTTTAGGCAGCTGGGGTAGAGAAGCTCCATATTACGTTCAATATTGCAGAAAAATGCATGGAATGTACACAGAGAAATTTGGATAAAGTTTCATGGGAATCACTCCTGAACTTCAGTTTTACAACTCCTGAGTCAGTTTTACAAGTCCTGAGTGGATCTGTCTTGTTAAGAGTATAGTCATGCATGAGATCCTGGGTACCCATTCCCACCCCTAATATAATCTGATACATTTGTGTGTTGGTTCAGCTAGCACATATTCTTTGCAATGTGAAGTCCTGCTGCATGGTGAGGACCATAATAAGAGTGGGAAAAACCGTCCCTGCTTCATAGGAATTTACAGTATTTTAAGAAAATCCTAGCAGAACTGGTAGTAAAAGTTAAAATATGATGTTTAAGCCCCAGAAGGCTTTGACTATACTTAATAATGACCAGGATGCTGTGTTTAGATAGAGGTAAACCTTCTGTTCAGAAATAGTAATTGAAATGTGTGAAATTGCTTTGAGGAGTTCATGTTGAATTGGGTAGAATTCAAAAATAGAGTTTCTAAAGTTATTTTAGCCATTTAAGTTGTATGTGATCGTTGTAGAAATATTAGAATATACAAACAAGTACCTGTTTTTAAAAACAGCCCATGTAGGTTTGGAGAGATGACTCAGAGGTTAAGAGCACTGGCTGCTTTTTTATACAGGACCTGGGTTCCATTTCCAGCACCCACATGGTGGTGGCTTATAACCACCTGTAACTGTAGTTCCAGGGGATCTGATGGCCTCTTCTGCCCTCTTTGGGCCCAGTCATGCACATACTATACGTATATACATTCAGGAGCACTTATACATGTAAAATAACAATAAAAATTAAAAAATAAAACCCACTCATTTATTACCCTATAAATGTTTGTATTTTGTATGTGCCACAGTATTCCATTATATGTACATACTATAAATCATGTAACTGATCTTTTGGGTGGGTGGGTTTTAATAGACAGGAAGGTGGAATAAAGGAATTGTTTTTCTTTTTTGTTTGTTTGAGGTTGGAAGTTGAATCTTACTATGTAGTCTGGGCTGGCCTAGAACTCTACTCTTTTGCTTCTGTTTTCCAAATGCTGATATTACAGGCATGTGCCTCCATGCCTGGCCTAGAGACTTTTGTTTTGAAGCAAATATACATTTTTCAGTATTTTATTTGTACTCTGAAGTTTTGGTACATTTAGTATAACTTCGATTAATACTAAAATTCCTTGTCCAAGAACATAAATCTAGCTATGGACAATTTACTTGATTAAAAAATGCATGAGTAAACTTATGGAGTAAAGTTACTTTAGAAGAAAATATTTGGAATGATGATTGAGGTTGGCAGACGAGGGTTATGACAGTGGATCCTTGAAGGTATGTTTCCAAGAGTAGGAATTCCTGGAATCAGTGTTTGAAACCTCGAATCAGTGTTTGATGTGAGAAGTACTATTCAGACTACTTTTTGAGTTCCCTTAAGTTTCTATTTGATTACTACTACTATTTTATGGTTTTGGTCCCTCTTTCCTTTTCTTCAATGCCTTGTGCTTACTAGGCAAGCACTCTAACAACCCTAGCTGTCCTGGAACTGCTTCTGTAGACCAGGTTGACCTTGAACTCACAGATATCTGCCTGCCTGTGCCTCCCAAGTGCTGGAATTAGAGGTGTGTACCACTAATGCCTGGCCATTTAGTGGGTTTTTAACCTTTTTTTTTTTTTTTTTGGTTTTTTTACGAGACAGGGTTTCTCTGTATTGTTTTGGAGGCTATCGGTCCAGCCCGGACTCGAACTCACAGAGATCCACCTGCCTCTGCCTCCCGAGTGCTGGGATTAAAGGTGTGCACCACCACCGCCTGGCTCCCTTTTTTTTTTTTTTCTTTTTTTAATGTGGAATGCTTCACAAATTTGTATGTCATCACTGCAACAGGGGCCATGCTAATCTTTGCTGTAGCAGTTCAATTTAATTATGTCCTGCCAAAGCACGGTTTTAAACTATTATTTTTAAAAATCTTTGTTGGTTAGTGGTGGTACATGCCTTTAATCCCAGGACTTGGGAGGCAGGTAGAGTTCAAGGTCAACCTGGTCTACAAATCAAGTTCCAGAGCTACATAGAGGAACTAACTCTGTCTCAAAAAAATCAAAAGGAAAAAAATCCTACAAAACTCTAAAACCTTTTTTTTCTCTCTATTTAATGTAGATGCTGGGAGTTGAATCCAAGTCATTTAAAGAGAAGTCAGTGTTCTTAATCTCTGAGCTATTTCCCCAGACATCATTTTTAACCTTTTGGAACCCTATTTTAGAAATTTCATGAAGCCCCTTAAAATGTTTTCAAGTACAGTTCTGTAGACATTGAACATCTCTAGTAAAGGCTCTGTTTGAAGCCCCAGTGTTAGGTCATTATAAACACTTGATCAAGTCTCTCTCTCTCTCTCTCTCTTTAGTTTTTCAAAACAGAGTTTCTCTGTGTAACAGCTCTGCCTTTCCTGGAACTCACTCTGTAGACCAGGCTGCCCTTGAACTCACAGAGATCTACCTGCCTTTGCCTCCCAAATGCTGGCATTAAAGACATGTGCCATCACTGCCCGACCACTTTCTTTCACTTTAATGTATGGTTCCTGGGTTGAACCTAAAGTCTTACCATGCAAGGGCAATGACACTAAACTATGCCCTCACCCCCCCCCTTTTTTTTTAAAATTTAAGACAAGCTGTCAGTGCATTTCCTAAATTAGCCTTGACCTCACTCTGTAGTCCGGCTGGCTTTGAAATTGAGGTCCTTGTCAACCTTTCTAGCTGCTAGGATTACAATGAACTAATACACTTGCTGCAATTGTTTTTTAAATGTTAAAACATGGTGTGATAGCAACATGTATTCTATCTTGCTATTTCTGAATAATAGTTTTCATTATAAGTGTTGGGTAGTCATTGAAGATTCTTTAACCAGGGCTATGGTTTTCTGTATGTGTGTGATATTTTTTGTGGAATGATCTCTTTCTAGAAAAAAGATGTCTTGGATCCTTTCAATGATGAAGAAAAAGAAAGGCATAAGGTGGAGGCCCTTGCACGAAAATTTGAAGAGAAATATGTAAGATTTCTATGTTTTTTGCAAAAGAACAACCTCATTATTGAGATCAGTCTCCAGGCATTTTATGTTCATTTAGTGGATTATCATATAATCAGAAGTGATCTGGAAATAGATGTAGCACTCATAGGAAATAGAAAACAGCTATTAAACAAATGAATTAAGGTTCAGAACTCTCATGTGGCAGGAGAAATTTGAGTGAAATGGGCAAATAAGGCCTTAGAGGATGTGTTTTGTTACAGAGCAAAATGATTCATTTAGTTCGTTCTTCTGTCTTAGACCATTTATGCAGGTATAAATCTGCCCTATTTTCAGAGGTCTTTAGAGGGGGTTGGGACATGTGTAAGGGTGTGTGTGTGTGTGTGTGAGAGAGAGAGAGAGAGAGAGAGAGAGAGAGAGAGAGAGAGAGAGAGAGAGAGAGAGGAGAGAGGAGGGGGAGGGGGGAAAGAGAGGAAGAGGAGAGGAGAGAGCCAGGGTGAGGGTAGTATGTTTTCAGTGCTTTTCACCCTTTTTAATCACTAGCTGATGAGACTCAAGGCAACATTTAATTCATTGTACTTATCAAAAAGCATGTGACTCCCTTGCTTTTAAATTTCAGGGTGGAAAGAAACGTAGGAAAGACCGAATACAGGATTTGATTGATATGGGGTATGGCTATGATGAGTCGGATTCTTTCATTGATAACTCAGAGGCGGTGAGTAGTTAAAGAATGTATGATACTGATAGTGGAACAGGGTTGTGACATCTCAGTTTGTCCTCTTGGCACAAACAGCCCTGAACTTGAGAGGAAGGGACTTCCTGAACCCAGGCTTTGGTTTTTTTTTCACATGAAAATAACAACCTCTTCTTTATAAAACACCTAGTAGCTTGCATATAAGTGATTTGAGGAGAAGGATGTCTTGGCATGGTGTATGAAAAGTGTCAGAAAATCCTAGTTGCATCTCTTAAGATATGCTTTGTACCTTGAACCAAAAATGGGAGCTGATGGTATGTTTTCCTCCCTTAGTATGATGAACTTGTTCCTGCTTCTTTGACCACAAAATATGGAGGATTTTACATTAACTCGGGAACCTTACAATTTAGACAAGCTTCAGAATCTGAGGATGACTTCATTAAGGAAAAGAAGAAAAAATCTCCGAAGGTTAGGTTATTCTTTCTTTTGTATTTCAGGAATATTTTTTGATGTGACTGTGAGATCTCTTATGGTGACTCAGGAGACTGGTGGAAAGGTAGAAATGTCTCAACATGATGTGACTATGGGGTACTGGTCAGGCCTCAGTCATTTCATTCATGTGGACCAATGAAGTATACCCCACTCTTACTGGCGTCTTTAATGGGGACTTGGAGAGGACTTTAGGTTTAGGGCTTGTCACCCACTGAAAACTGTTCAGCCTTAGATTGATCATATTTTTAGAGTCTGCCTACCACTGCCCATTATTTAAAATAAGAGGGCCCACCTACAGCTCATTTCAAATCTGTCTCAGAACAGCCACCATGGTTCCATTTAGGTGTTTTCAGGAAACACTATTGATTGGATGCTATAGGTTCATGTCCAGGGACTGCTTTGAGAGAGAAGCATTTTTGTTCATGAAGGAAATGAAATGGGTCTAAAAATGTACCTTACTCGGAGCAAAGCCAGTGCTGTCTAGTGTATTTTCTTTCTGGCTCGGAGTTGTATAACTGTACCTTGTCTTTAATTCTCAGAAGCGGAAGTTGAAAGAAAGTGGTGAAAAGATAAAGAAGAAGAAAAAAGATGACACTTACGACAAGGAGAAGAAATCGAAAAAGTCCAAGTTTTCCAAAGCTGGGTGAGAGGCAGCAGCTTTTCTCTAGGATAAAGTCTGGCCTATGAGGGCACAACACTTGGGAGCTGACTTGCCCTCTCCCTCTTCCCCAGCTTCAAAAGAAGCAATAGGGCCTGGCTCTCCTTTCACCTCTCCACTGACAGGGTGGTTCTGGGCATAGTCAGCCACTCTCATCAGTGTGTCAGATAGCCTGTGTGCCCGTGCTCCTGTCAGTGTTGGCAGCTGCTTCTGTCACCGCATGATTGCTGGTGTTCCTTGTTCTCTTAGAACTCTTCTCTGCCCCAGTTTTTCTGTCTTCTGCTGTTTTCTTATGTCTATGGTCGTGATTCCTACTTAGTTAGCCCAGCTGCCTTCAAGTTGTTGCTGTTCTTCTCCAGTTCTCACGCTTTCTTCCTTGAAATACTTTTCTTGTCCCTCCCATTTTTCGCTAACTTTTATTTAAACCTGGAAATGGTTCTTAAAAGTCTGCTGAATATTTAGCTTATATGACACGGTGTTGCTAATTTCTATTCACACTCAAGCTTTGGCCCAGCAAGAATGAATTCTCTATGCCAAGAGGATGGAGGCATGCTAACAGAGTGGACTGACAGAAAAGAGGCTTTCGTGGAGACCATTTCCTGGGAGCAGGGATGAAGGCTGCTCAATTTCTCATGGAGAGTCCTGCAACCTGAGTAATCAGTTTCCCTCTTGCTTGCAGCTTCACAGCCCTCAATGCCAGTAAGGAGAAAAAGAAGAAGAAGTACTCTGGGTCGTTAAGTGTTAGAGAGATGCTAAAGAAATTTCAGAAGGAGAAAGAGGCTCAGAAAAAGAGGGAGGAGGAGCATAAGCCTATAGCTGTGTCGTCAATAGAAGTTCAGGGCCTGAGGGAATTGGAGAGCACTTCTGACCCCTTGCTCTCACTCTTTGGCTCCACTTCTGACAATGACTTGCTCCAAGCTGCCACTGCCATGGACTCCCTGACAGATTTGGACTTGGAGCAGCTGCTCAGTGAGTCTCCAGAAGGAAGCCCTTTCCAAGATATGGATGATGGAAGTGATTCCCTTGGAGTGGGATTGGATCAGGAATTCAGGCAGCCCTGTTCCTTTCCCGAAGGCCTGCCAACACTCCTGGAGAAGCGTGTTAAGGAGCTGGCTCAGGTATGGGGACACAGTATGGCTGAGTAGGTTGGTATTAGCTCTACATTTTTTTTTTTTTTTTGGTTTTTCGAGACAGGGTTTCTCTGTATTGTTTTTGGAGGCTGCCCTGGCACTCACTCTGTAGGCCAGGCTGCCTCCTGAGTGCTGGGATTAAAGGCGTGCACCACCAGTGCCCGGCTAGCTCTATGTCTTGTGACATTTGATGCCCAAGAAACCCTTAGTGAGTTGGAAAGTAAAAGTGTAAAGTTTCCAAGTTCTTATCTAATCCTAGGAGGATACAGTGTAAGCTTTGTGCACCAGGCTGCATTTTTTCACCTCTCTCAATTCTTTCACTTCTGGAAATTTTACTTTGGGGAGATTTTTTTTCTCTTGTTCTGTTTTCTATTAGTTTCTTTCTCATAGCTCACCTTTGCTTTTGTGGTTGATCAGCCCTGCTGTTGGCAGCAGGCAGCTGAGGTAGAGTGTCATCTTTGAATTCTTCCAAAGATTTTGAAAATTTGCTGGTTTGTAAACACATGCATAAGCGCACAGCACATGCTTACCTGCCACTGGGTTTACTTGCTCCCTTGTGTTGGGGATCATCAGGTGTTCCTGCATGGTGACACATGGGAGCTTAACATTATGAGCACTGTTCCTGTCCCAAATGACAGCAAGCAGTCTTTAGCATGGAATAGCTGCTGTTTTCCTCCAGTGTTTGGAGTTGATTCCTAAGTACTAACAACTGTCAATTCAGTAATTTACTACTAGCTGTAATCTAACTGGGGACTATTAGTTTTGATACTATTGCCTTTGGTTAAAACTTTTCCCTCTAGGCACTATTATTTGGAATGTAGTTCCAGGAACATTTGTGCTCGACAGCTGTGTATTTTGAACTAGTGATTCTTGCAGCATTTTCAGATTGTGAGTAATATTTCATGTTTTAGGGCAGTGTAAATTGTCAGCTTCATCTAGAAATTTTATCTCACTTAGAGAAGATATTTAAACACAATATACAAAGCACATAAAACATATTATTTACATCTGTGGCTCCTCCATGTTGGCCCATGTGTAGTAATTCACATAAGTGTTCTTCTTGAATGTAATGCTTTAATGAATTGTGCCATGTCAGGAACTCATAGTATATCTTACTATATTTGTATTGTAGGGAGAGTAGTTGATTCTGCACTTGGCATGTTTGAGCATACTGTCTGTTGCTCAGAATTCATGTTTAAAAAATTGCTTCTTGTTCTTTTCAATGCTTTAATTTGTAAGCACATTTTTTTTTTTTGTAGTCTCTCAATGAAATGAAAAGGACTAGGCGATAGTAGATCATTGTTTATTTTACCGAAAAGTAAAAATTCTTGGGTATGCCCTTTCTTTCATAGTTGATTGTGACCAGAATAGTAACCTATTGTTTCACTTTTTTTGGGGAAAGGGTTTAGTGAAAATAAAGTGCCCCAACCTTGAAACAGGGTTGGACTGTGGTACAAGAAAGCCTCTCTGGGTAAACATGCTATTTGGCAAGTTGTCTCTTCTGAATAATGACTGCTGGGCATTACAGATTTTACTGTACCTGGAGCCCTTCATATGTGTGCATGGATATCTGGATAACTGGTCCTTTTTGACAATTTGCTGGGAAATGTAGTCTTTCCAGAGAAGAATGTGTTTGGACACAGACCATCACATAGAATTCCAAAAGCCACATGTAGATATTTGTATTATTTTGTTTGTTTCTCTATAGCTTTGGAGCCTGTCCTGGAAGTTGGTCCATAGACTAGGTTGGTCTTGAATTCACAGAGTTCTGTCTCCCAAGTTCTGGGACTAAACATGTGCGCCATCACTGCCAGGCTGATATTTGTATTCTTAATAAAGAGTTCTATGTTAGATCTTGAAATGAACATGGCATTTTAAAGATTATATTAGATAGCTGGGCATGATGGTACTTACCTATAAGCCCAATAGTTGGGAGGTGATAGCAGGAGAATTATGTTGTTCAAGGTCATTCTTGGCAACAAAGGAAGTTCTAGATTAGCCTGAGCTTTATGCGACTCTGTCTTGATCCCAAAATTAACTTGTTATGCATAATTGTTGGTAGCAGTTTAAATATTTCTCACTTTATTTTTTAACTTCCCTAATTTCATTTTCCTCTCTTTAAAAATAAGATTAGATAGATTTTAAATCTTGACTTTAGAAGAGATACATGTCCATTTCTTTCTTTTGTTTGTTTGTTTGTTTTTTTGTTTTTGTTTTTCGAGACAGGGTTTCTCTGTATTGTTTTGGAGGCTGTCCTGGAACTCGCTCTGTAGACCAGGCTAGCCTTGAATTCACAGAGATCCGCCTGCCTCTGCCTCCCAAATGCTGGGATTAAAGGTGTGCACCACCAACACCCGGCTACATGTCCATGTCCATTTCTATTGCTTAAATTAGAAAAGGAATCCTAAAACCTGTGCCTAGCCCACATATTATTCTTGACTAGGCTGGCTAAATGTCTCTTTTCTGATCTTGTCAGAACTCATACTTGCAACTGTATTCAGCCAGCACATTAGCCTAGTCAAGAGTCTGACTGAACCTCCTTATCAAGGCCTTCTGTAGATCATGGTTGTTTCACTGAGTTCCTCAACCTCATCTCAGATTTGGAATCCTGCTTCAGACTCCAGAGCAACTGGGATTATGGGTGTGTGGCACCAAGCCCAACTTCAGTTGGTCTTTAATTTGGATTTATTTTAAAATGTAGCCTCCAAGTAATCTATTATAAGACCAGATCCTCCAAAATATAACCTATGTAGTTAGAAGGCTTCAGAAAGAAACTTTTTAAAAAGTTATATAGGCAGAAAGCTTTTAAAATACTGGAGGTACTGGAGAAATGGCTTAGTGGCTAAAAAATAAATTTGTAACCTGGTGTGATACTGCAGTTCTCGGAGTAAAGGATGGAGAATCAAGAGTTCAAGGCTAGGAGCTGAGGGATGGCTCAGTGGTTAAGACTACTAGTTGCACAGCAATGAGGACCTGAGTTTTGGATTCTAGCACTTATATAACACAACTATTAAGTGTGGTCTAGCATGTGCCTGTAACTTTAGTGCTCTTGGGATGGGGTGGAACCAAAGGATCAGTGGGGTTTGCTGGCTAAAAAGCCTAGCCAAAATGACTGATCAGAGAAAGACCTCACCTCAAAGGAATAAAGCAGAGAGTGATTGAGATCACTTGACATGCTTCTCTGGTGTCTGTATGTGCACACATGTACACAGATAAACACCATGAGCATGAGAGCACATGCACACGGGTATACACACACACACACACACACACACACACAATGTACAGAGTTAAGTTTATCCTTGAGTTAATAAAAAAAATCCTGTCTCAGAAAAGGAAAATTTATTTGTAAACTTAAACTGCTGATGGGTCTAGTGAACAATGTAACATTTGAATATCTGTTTAAGGAATTAGATTGAATTGATTAAGGATACTTCTGAATCTTAGAACTAGTAGTATAAGTTTTTGTTTTTGGTTTTTCAGACAGGGTTTCTCTGTGGTTTTGGAGACTGCTGGAACTAGCTCTTGTAGACAAGGCTGGTCTTGAACTCACAAAGATCCGGCTGCCTCTGCCTCCCAAGTGCTGGGATTAAAGGCGTGTGGCACCACCACCTGACTTTGTGTTACTTTGAGAGAGCTGATGTTTGGGCCACTTCTCAAGAGTATACATTCCTCAGACCCAACTCCCAAGGTTGTGGTTACTGGTCTGGGAAAGCTGCCTAGGTAACTTCCATGTGAAGCCAAGAGTGAGAAGCACCAGATTTAGTCATTGTTCTGGTCACTTCAGGATCTCTAGGCTTGTTCCCAAGGTGTCATCTTCAGTATCATGTATTAATTCAGGAGTCTGGGAGTGAGATACCATAAGTATATTACAGATTTTCAAAGTATGTCTTAAAGTACTGAAGCTACACAGTAATCCTTTTGCAGTAGAAGGAGTCTCTTTGAGTATTAGTTATGGCTGGAGTACACAATATTTTTATTACTTTGCATAATTATTTGATTCATAAAAGCCTTTAAGTCAGTGGTTTTCCTTCAACTTGTGGGTTGCAACCACTTGGGGGTCTCCTAAGACCATCAGAAAGCACAGATATTTACGTTATACATCATAACAGTAGCAAAATTACAATTATGAAGTAGCAAAAGAATAATTTTATGGTTGGGGGGTCACCACAACGTGTAAAACTGTATTGATGGGTCACAGTATTAGGAAGGTTGAGAACCACTGCTTCAAGTCTTATAGGTGTGCTTTTCTACCATTGAAAGTATAGAAATCCCAGTTTACAGTGTAGTTGGTAAGAGTCTGGACACAGAAGCTGGATTGCTGGTTGAGTTGACTTCTGACCAGATACCTCAAGATCACTGCTTTTTCTTCCATGATTAGTATTGTAAGTCCCAAGAACTTGATCACAGTTGCTGTAACAGCTTTGGAATGACGTTAATCAGGGTGTAAGGTATAGTCAGGAAGATGACAGGGAGTGTTTTATTGGCAGGTACTCTTTGGGAGCAGTGATTCTGTACCTGCTTGTGAGTGTGAGAGATGCATGGAGAAAGGGCACTAATACTTGTTACTGTCTCCTGTGAATCAGGCTGCCAGAGCTGCTGAGGGAGAGAGCAAACAGAAGTTCTTCACTCAAGATATTAATGGTATCCTGCTAGAGTGAGTATTTGTTTATCTGTTTTTCTATTTAGACTGAAACAGGGACACAAGATCCCTGTCTCCATAAATGATAGGCCTTACTAATCTTCACCCACGAACATTATTAAAATGCTATAATATATGTATTGTCATGGCCTGTTGGAAGAGGATTACTTGACAAGTATGAAATGAAAAGAAAGAATCTAGATGAATGAGTGACAGCCTGGTAACCTGCATTGGGGTGCCTCTCAGGGTTCATCCTTATTTTTACTTGTATTTCCAGTACATTTCATCCCATCATGCTCTGCCCAGAGCCCCAAAATCTGAGGTACTTTGTTGTGTGAACTGGATTAAAAAGGACAACAGCAAGTATACAAATCTCTATGTCAGGCCAACAGAGGCTTTTGCCTATGTAAGAATAGTTGTCAGGACTTGAGAATGTTCCCACAAATGGCCTCCACTGAATCGGATGTGGATGGACCTTTTGGTTCAGGAAGCACAGGGCCTCAAAGAGCACCTGAGAGTTTTGTGCCAACAAAGAACCTATTTGAATGTGCCACATACAGAAAGCTCAGGCTTTTCCTGTTTGTCCAGCTGGAGAAACTAGAGAGGTGAGGATTTCCCTGATCTCATGATCATGGGTCAAGCTAGTAACTGAAAAATCAAAACATGCTTGAGAGGGTTGGAGAGATGGTTTAATGGATAGGAGAATTTACCAATGCTCCCAAAAAGGACCTGGATTTGTTTCCCAGCATCCACATGGTAGCTTACAACTGTCCTTAAGAACTGGCTCCTTAGCTGGGCGTTGGTGGCGCACGCTTTTAATCCCAGCACTCGGGAGGCAGAAGCAGGTGGATCTCTGTGAGTTCGAGGCCAGCTTGGTCTACAGAGCGAGTTCTAGGATAGCCTCCAAAACAATACAGAGAAACCCTGTCTCAAAAAACCAAAAAAAAACAAAACAAAAAACAAAAAAAAAACTGGCTCCTTAACTCTAGGTTCAGGGGATCCAGGAGTACTAGGCATGTACATGATAAACAATATATACATTCAGGCAAAATATCCGCATAAAAGAAAAATAAATCTTCAAAACATTACTGAAAAGTGTTTCCTGACTATCCCAGTTTATTACTTTTACTTTTGAAGCTTTTATGTTTTTTGTTGTTGTTGTTTATGAAATTTAATGCTCATACCTTTTTATCTTTGGCTCTGTTCTATTTCCCTTTTTTTTCCCAGACAGGGTTTCTCTATGTAGCCTTGGAACTCACTCTGTAGACCAGGCTAGTCTTGAACTCACAAAGCTCCACCTGCCTCTGCCTTTCAAGTGCTGAGATTAAAGGCACATGCCACCACTGTGTAGCTCTTGACTTTGTTCTTAGGTCTTGTCCTTGACCTAAGAGTCTTGACCATCTTTCCCCAGCCAAGTTCATTAAGTTTGAGTATTTCCTTATGTTGCTGCTTGAGATTTTGTTGCCGGGTTCACATGGTTACATTGTGTGACCATCAAGATAACCTTTAGAATGATTTTGTGCTTAGCTTTCTTCTCCAGTCTGCAACTTAAGGAAGAGGAAACTTGCAGAAAGCTGCAGGCCATTAATGACTGTGTTGTGTTCTTTAGCATAGAGGTTCAAACCCGGGAGCTGACTAGCCAAATTCGTTCTGGGGTGTTTGCTTATCTGGCTTCATTCCTGCCATGCAGCAAGGATGCTCTGGTCAAGCGTGCTCGGAAACTTCACCTCTATGAACAGGTGGGTAGCAGAGTCTGCATAGGGATCACATATGCTGCACTGTCTGTAACAAGTATTCTTCCCGCCAGCCTGGTCCCAGAGCTGCGTCAGTCCAAAATGATCACACAGGACACTATATTAATTATGAAGCTGTTGGCCATTTGCTTGGTTCCTTGTTGGCTAGCTCTGACTTAATTATTAACCCATAACTGCTAATCTAGTATTTCCAAGTGGTCTTCTCTTAGTGGAGGAAAGGGTCTGGACCTCTCCCATGTCATACATTGTAACTGACTGTGCCTCTGTTTCCCAGAATCCTCCTCGACTCCTAGTCCCACCTATTTGCTTCCCTATTGGCCAATACTTTATTTAATCAACCAATAAGAAGACAACATATACACAGATGGACTCCCCCCATCATCTCCTCTTCTCTGTCTAAATAAAAAGGTTTTAACTTTAACATAGTCAAATTATATATAACAGAACAGTTATCAAGTACTATAATTATAATATTTAGTCCATTAACATTTAGTAAGATTTAAAGAAAGCATTTTATCATCTATCTGTGTGAATCTAAAGTCTTATATATAACTTATCTTTTATCATTACTAAGGAAAACTATAATTATAACTAACTGTCTTCAACTCCATCAAAGACCACATAAGGATAATATAGAAACTCTAGAATTGACAGAGACATCTCGCTGCCTGGACAGTCACCTGAAGTTCCTCTGTAACATTGGGGCATTCATCTTCAGGCCATAGGCCACAGTGTTTCTGGCAAACTTCTCAGCAAAGTAGGAAATTTTAAACTGTCTATCTGTATTGGCAGTTTGCTAGTCATTTTTTTGTGTCCTGTAGAATGTCTGGCAGACTTGTCCGTGAAGCACGAACCTTGTAGGACTGTCCATCTTGTTTTGTAGGTTTAGCAGTCATTTTTCTGTAGGTCCTGTATGTCCAGTTTATACAGCAACAGTCAAACATTCCAGGCAAGAGCGGTTTCTTGCCCAATGGCTAGTTTTGCCATGTTGAAGGTAAACTCCATAATGAGTTTTTGTGATGCCCATCTTTTTTGATGTAGATTGGTGCTGCCAGGAGCAGACATTTCTCATTGTCAAGAAAAACCCTAAACCTTTTTCTGTCTCCTTTTGATAGCCCATTGTGGGTCCTCACTGTGAGAGTGGTACGTGAGCCAAAACTGTTCTGTGTCCTTCCTTCATAGGGTGGGCGCCTAAAGGAACCACTCCAGAAGCTCAAGGATGCCATTAGTCGGGCCATGCCTGAGCAAGTGGCCAAGTACCAGGATGAATGCCAAGCACACACACAAGCAAAGGTTGCTAAGTAAGTGTGTCCCATCTCACTTGGGTGTCATTATCTTCCTATATCTCGTCTACCCCCTCTTAAAATTACTTTTGTGTGTGTGAGTCTGTGTGTGGAAATGTGCATGTACCTGTAGTATCCAGAAGAGTCAGATACCCTGGAGCTGTAGTTACAAGTGTTGTGAACTGGGGTGCTGGAACTGAATTTGGATCCTCTGCAAGAACAGTACATACTCTTAACCACTCTCTGGGTCCCTGTCTCTTCTTTTTACACTTCTAAATATTTACTTACATTTCCAGCACAATTCTAGGCTTTTCAGCATTTTTTGATCTTAAATCAAGACTATTGTAGAAGGGAGAAAGGGAAAGTTGGTGGGCAGGAGAACCTCAGCATTCCTTCTGTTTCCTCTGTAGGATGCTGGAGGAAGAGAAAGACAAGGAGCAGAGAGAACGGATTTGTTCTGATGAGGAAGAAGATGAAGAAAAGGGGGGCCGGAGGATAATGGGACCCCGGAAGAAATTCCAGTGGAATGATGAAATCAGGTGTGCACAAACTGGGACCTTGCATCATTGGAGGGTTTGTGAGACCAGTAGCTGATCCTGTCCCCATATTGCTAATGAAGGTTAGGATTAATACTTACATGGGTTGCTGAAAGCGCACAGTAGCAACTGTGAAACAGCATTTGGGGTGGTGGGAGTTTCTGATCTCTGTCTGCTTTTCAGGGAGCTTTTGTGCCAGGTGGTGAAGATCAAACTGGAGAGCCGGGATCTGGAGAGGAACAGCAAGGCCCAGGCCTGGGAGGACTGTGTGAAAGCGTTTTTGGATGCTGAAGTCAAGCCTCTCTGGCCCAAAGGTTGGATGCAGGCCAGGTGAGGCTCTTGTGGTGAGGCAGATTAGTCTGCACTGACAGTGATACCTTCCCTCAGAAGTCACTGCCTTACTGGTTAAATTCTGATGTCACTTGAGTACCAAGGGACATACTGGGATATATAAAGGAGTCTTCGTTTTTTTTGTTTGTTTGTTTGTTTTGTTTTGTTTTTTTGTTTTTGTTTTTTGGTTTTTTTCGAGACAGGGTTTCTCTGTGGCTTTAGAGGCTGTCCTGGAACCCATTGCTTGGTAGTCCAGGCTGGTCTTGAACTTACAGAGATCCACCTGCCTCTGCCTCCCGAGTGTTGGGATTAAAGGCGTGCGCCACCACCGCCCGGCTAAAGGAGTCTTCTTAACCTAGAAGAGAGATCTTTAGAATTCAGTCCTTGTCCCACTTTAGTGGGAGGATTGGCTGCGTTCTTGTTTCTTTACAGTATAGGCTTTGTTGTTTTGATGCAATGGCTGTATCAGAGGCTGAGATGGAAGTCATCTTGGGAACTTCCTCATGGTTCCAGAAAGTTTACAAGGAGCAGTGCTGACTCCATGCTGGAGTCTAGTGTTGGGCTTCTGTCCCAGAAACTCCTTCACATGTGTTGCCACCCATGAATGGAACATGTCTGCCTTATGGAGGGCATAGGAGCTTAGATAAGGATAGTGATTCATCAGTGATTTGGACAGATGACGGAACCTTGGGAATTACTATTCTCTCCTTGTAGGTTAGGTTATATAGAGATAATTTTTCTTGAGTTTCTCTGAAAAAACTAAAGGGCATGCTATGTGTGCTACTTCACGTTTTCTCCTTAGGTCAGTTTAGATTACCAGTAAGAACAGCACCACTGCTTTAGGGAATTTGTGGCTATGTGAGCTTACAGCACAGCCATTGACTTTCTTGGTGAAGCTCAGATGTTTGGCTTTACATGAGTTGGTAAGGCCATATTATGCCCCTCAGCTAGACTGTGGCTCTCTAGTCAGCTAGAATAAATGCTACTTAGTACCAGGACCTCCAGGAAAGCTCTACAAGCAGAGTTGTGGCATGCTAAGGCAGATATGATACACCAGCCCTTTTTCTTTCAGGACTCTATTTAAAGAGAGCCGTCGAGGCCATGGGCACCTGACATCACTCCTGTAAGTACCTCAGAATTTTATTTTTTGGGACACTACTATTTAATCTTCTTTTGTGTATCTCCTTTGAACCATTTCTGTGTTCATTTCTTTGAACAGGGCTAAGAAGAAAGTAATAGCTCCCTCAAAAATCAAGGTGAAGGTGAGTCAGCTTGCTCTGGCCATGTGCCAACTGTTCTGAAGCCAGGCTCAGTAAATCTCTTGAGTGATCATGGCAGCTTGATAAGCTTCATTGAGAATAGTTATTCAGATGGCACCTTTGAACAAGACATACCCGAGCTGAGCCACTTAACCCTTTCTAGCCTCAATTTTTCACTCCAATACTCAGCCAGCCCAATTCCTATGGGACTCAGTAGAATTTGAAGCAGCTCTGAAGGAGTGCTCTAAGGGTCACTGTAAATGTGAAAGCTCAGCAGTATAGTAGACCTCTTGGGGAGGAAGTATACTCCTGTGGGCCAGATAGTTTGTAGCAGTAGCAGGGAGAAGTGGCTCTGTTAGCTACCTGGGAGAACCACAGGGAGCTAAGTGGATGAAGCACAAAAATGTGAAAAACATCTTAGGTATCACAGAAACTTCTCAGTGGGGAACATTGGTACTTGCTAGACTTTTACCAGTTGAGGCTTGGGGCTCCCTTAGCCTACTTAAAGAGGTTGTTAGAACAGATGTTTAAATTGTTTATTCCTGGGTATTTAGAATATTCCTACAGTATATGAGAACTTACTATATTAAGTACTGGGATGCAGGAGCAATGGTGTAGATTACATTTCTGTTCCCATGAGAATGGCCGGGGGAGTCAGGTATTGAGGAAAAGTAAGTTAATTGAAAGTAGTTCTCATCAGTCTAATTTCAGCCAGGAACATTTCAAGATAGTGTGAATGCCTGCAGACTATCTTGGTTAGCTTCCTATTGTTGTGATAAAATACCATGACTAAAAGCAACTTAACAGCTTATAGTCCATCATCCAAGGAACTTAGGGCAAGAGCTCTAGGAGGCAGGAGCCTGGAGAAGAACTGATAGATACAGTAGCCATAGCGGAATGCTGCTTACTGACTTGCTCCTCATGGCTTACTCATCCTGCTTTCTTGTAGCACTCAGGACCACCAGCACAGGAATGACACTGCCCACAGTGAACTGGGTCCTCCTGTATCAATCATCTGTCAAAAAAAAAAAAAAAATGCACCACAGGCTTGTCCAAAGGCCAGTCTTGTGTGGGTATTTTTTTTCAACTGAGATTACCTCTTCCAAACTGACATTAGCTTATATTACATAGTTGGTATAAAACTAGCCAACACAATATCTGAGCAAATCTTGTGCTATTTCAGAAACTAGAAGAAGAAAAGTTTTACTGTGGGCATGTGTATATTTAGTGAGAAAACATGTTGACCTAAAACCAACCTCCACCAGCTAGATACATGCCAGATAGTACTACAAGGCAAGGCAGACATGGTACCTACTCTCATCCATCACTTGTCTTATAATTACCCAATAAGCTTGAGTTCACTTGTTAACATCTTCGTATCAGGCCACTATTGGTATCTTTGAGTACTTCTCACTATAAACATTTCTGCTTTCCTTTAGGAATCATCTGCTAAGCCTGATAAAAAAGTTTCCATCTCATCAGGACAGCTTGGTGGTCCCACTACTTTGCTCTCAGAACATCAGGGTGGAGGCCTGAATATTGGAGCAACCAACAGGGAGCTTTCATCCCAAGCAGCTTGTGGCCTCAGTGACCCTGTTCCTGTCACCCTGGAGGACTCACTGGATGAAGACTTGGTCCGGAATCCAACCTCTTCTGTGGAAACTGTGTCTAAAGAGCTGGCTGTGTTGAACAGCAGAGCAGCCAGCGGTTCTGAATTCACACTGCCTGCGCCCTCCAAAGCACCAACAGAAAAAGTTGCTGGTGTTTTGTGTACAGAAGAGAAGCGGAACTTTGCAAAGCCCAGCTCTTCTGCACCTCCACCTGCTAATGCTCTGCAGTCACCTCTCAATTTTCTGGCTGAACAGGCTCTAGCACTGGGGCAGTCTTCTCAGGAGAAAAAGCCAGAGAGTTCTGGCTACAAAGAGCTGTCCTGCCAAGCTACCCTCAGCAAGGGTATATCTGAATTGCACCAGTCCAAAGCAAAGCACCACAGTTTGCCACGGACGTCTCATGGACCCCAGGCAGCTGCCCCCATGCCTAGCTCCCAAGTCAAAGTCTTTCATGCAGGCATTCAACAACAGAAAAGCTTCACACCCCCATCCCCCTTTGTCAACAAGCTGCAAGGCCCAAAGGCTGCCTCTCCACAGTGTCATCGTTCCCTCCTGCAGTTGGTAAAGACAGCATCCAAAGGCCAGGCCTTCCATGCCACTATGCCATCGTCCTCTGTAAGTTCACCGGCCTCCAGTAGCAGCTCTCATAAGACCACAGCCTCGTCCTCTACTCCCCTGAGCCATCCAGCAAAGCAGCATCCAGCCAGCTCTGTGGGACCATCTTATAAGAATAACCCTTTTAGTGGCTCAGTCTCTAAACATGGGGCTTCTTCTAGCAGTCCATCACCTGCTGGATCCCAAGTGCAGAGCTCTGTTTCTGGGACCTTGCTCCCAAGTGTGCAGTCTCCCTTAGCTGGACAGCCTTCAAACCGAGCTGCCCCAAGTTCTGCTGTGAAAAAAACACCTGTTTCTCAGAAGCTGACCCTGGTGGCTCCACCTGGAGGTCCAAATGGAGATTCTGGTGGTGGAACACAGGGAGTGGCAAAGTTACTGACCTCCTCCCTAAAGCCTGCTGCAGTTAGTAGTGTGACATCGTCTACCTCCTTGCCAGTGAGTATCCAGCATTGCAACCTGTCCCAACTGCAGGGATTTTTGGGGACAAGACTGCTTGCCTTGCCTTAGTCTGCAGATATGGTTTGAAACAGTCAGGTGGGGACAGTAAGTGAGATTAGACACAGGAGAGAGTACTGGATTTCCTGTTTAGTCTCACTTTTACTGGTTGTTGGAGGGCCAGTATAACCTGAATGTCTTCTTAGGGGAACTGGAAGGGAAAACAGAAGGGAATATCTGTTGCTATTAGGTTCCTGGAGAAATTGAGCCTTTGCGAAATAGAGTGAGTACCAGAACCTGCTTCTGCCCTCTGAATCAAAAATGGAAGTACCTTCAGCTGTTAGGTGGCAGTTAGGAAGTGTTTATGCCTCAGCACTTCTAATTGCAATTCTCTGATAGACTTGAAAGAACTCTGTAGGTCAAAGGTATTTTGACAGAACCTATCATGGAAGATGTGTTCTGGGGTGTGTGGGTGTAAACTAGAAGTCTGGCCAGGATAGTGTTGCACATCTATAATCCCAAAGATAGAAGCAGGAGAATCAGGAGTTCAAAGCCAGTCTTGCTGCATGTCTAGTTTGAGACCAGCCTGGATACATCAGACCCTGTCTTAAATTGAAAAGAGGTTTGAGAGTTGGCTCAGCAGTTAAAAGCACATCCACCAGGCTGTGGTGATGCACGCCTTTAATCCCAGCACTTGGAAGGCAGAAACAGTTGGATCTTTGTGGGTTCGATGCTGACCTGGTCTAAAGAGTAGGTTCCAGGATAGCCAGGGGTACAGAGAAAAACTGTCTTGAAGGACCAAAAGAAAAAAAAAAAAAGATGTAGACAGGTCAGTCCAGCAAGATCTTGATTCTCCCTGCCACCCTGAATAGTAACTGTGCACATTCGTTTTCAGGAGAAAAAAATGATGTGCGTACACGTGTTTGTATGAATGGGGGCACATGTGTGTGTGCCATGTTAAGCATGTTGAGTTCAGTCTTCACCTTCTATCTTGTTTGAGACAGGATCTCTTTGTTGTTCACTATTGTATCAGGCTAGCTGGCCCTTGAGTTTATAGGGCTTCTCATCTTATGGGTGCACCAGATTATAGACTCATGCTACCACACCCAGTTTTATATGGGGTCTGAAGATTTAAACCCAGGCCTCAGGGCTGAAGCTTTAGCTCAGTGATAGAGCACATGTCTAGTATCCACTAGGCCCTATATTCAATTCCTACTACTGCTTTGACCAAAAAGGAAGAAGGGAAACTATTGACTTAATGTTGCCTTGACAATACATTATAGGCTGGTGCTTTAGCTCAGTTGGTAGAATGCTTGACCAGTGTGCATGAAGCCCTGGATTTCATCCCCAGCACCACATGAACTGGGCATGGTGATGCATACTTGTAACCCCAGCACTGGGAGTGAGGTAGTCAGTAGGATCAGAGGTTGAAGGTCATCCTCAGCTACATAATAGGCCAGTGTGGGCCTGTTATGAGACCCTGTCTCAAAAATAGAACAAGGACTTCCTGTTTCCTGTGAGCTCTTAGTTTGAAACCATGTTGAAGATATCTATAAAAACTTAGGCTTTTTGATCTTTCTGAGGTGTCTGTAACCTGTCAAAATGAGACAAGGACATATAGTGGATAAGCTTCAGTCAGCCTAATGAAATGAATGAACACTCTCTCTCCTTTGCCTCCTGAGTATTGGGATTAAAGGTGTGGCCACCATGCCCAGCTGAACAGGACTGTTTATATTTTAACTTTCTGTGGTGTCAGGGTTCATGAATATATACTAACTAGTCTCATTGAAATATGATCTGGTATAGTTAGATTTCACAGCCACATTTCACCATAATGCTACAGTGAAGCTTTCCAATTAACTTTAAAAAAAAAACCAACAATGGAATGGAAGTGTTTACTTTCACATGAAAATATATGGGGAACCATTTTTAATCAGATCTTTTTAATGAGAAACTTGCCATACTGTCCATATTTATGAAGGCTTTGGGTGAGACCCAGGGCACCTCTAGATTTTAAATTTGTCATGAAAGTAACTTCTGCGGATGGTGTGTGTGTGTGTGTGTGTGTGTGTGTATGAGTATGAGTGTTTTGTTTGCATGCCTGGTGTCCACGAGGCCAGAAGAAGGTGTTGGATCCCTTGGGGCTGTAGTTGAGACCATTGTGAGCCATCATAATAGGTGTTGGGAATCAAACTGGGGTCCTAGGGAAGAATAGTCAATTTTTAAAAACTACAACAGCTAGGCAATGGTGGTGCATGTGTGCCTTTAATCCCAGCACTTGGGAGGCAGAGGCAGGTAGATCTCTGAGTTCTAGGACAGCCAGGGCTACACAGAGAAACCAGAAACCAGACAAATAGACCAACAAATAAAATCACAAAGGTTTTCACTGAGTTGTCCCTGCCTATATATGTGTTATGTAAATTTATAATAAATTTAAATTAGTGTATATAAATTTGTTTATATCTTAGTTTGTGTGTGCATTATGGGTATCCACATGGTATATATATTATATATAATAACTATACATATTATTGGTTTGTTTTTGTTTTTTATTTTTTTGAGACAGGATTTCTCTGTATTCTTGACTGTCTTGGAACTCACTCTGTAGACCAGGCTGGCCTCAAACTCACAGAGATCAGCCTGCTTCTGCCTCCTGAGTGCTGGGATTAAAGGAGTGTGCCACCATTGCTGGGCTCATACATGATATATTGCTTCTGCTTCATAAAAAACACATATTTGCTATTTTAAAAATTATCTCTGTGCCCTAGAAGTCCCTAGATGCTGGCTCATAGAGACTTCCCCATTCCTCTTTTGAGTGCTGAATAGTAAGGTTCTTATTGTGTGTGTGTTTCCTCTCCAGAAAGGAACCGGAGGGGCAATGCTGCTGTCCAACACTTCTTCCTTAAGCCTGCTGTCTTCATCCTATAAGCCCAGCAACCCCAAGCTTCAGGGGGCTATGAACTCAAACTCAGTGGGAATCATAACCTCTGTCCCATTTCCACTTCATGTGCTGTCCTTCAGTTCAGACTCCTCTGCCAAAGCAGGGGTCTCGAAGGATGCCATTGTTACAGGTCCAGCCCCTGGGACCTTCCATCATGGTCTCAGCCACAGTAAGTTTTTGTTTCCTGCCTCTGTTCCTATGTTGTGTGCAATGTTGGATCCTCTATGTGTTTGATGTGACTGTGGGAGCAATGCCTGTCCCGGGAAGCTGCTTAGTGCCCGGTATAGCTGGTTTGTTCCAGATTGGCCCACAGGTTGCCTGGGGGCTCTGAATCTCCCAAGCTGCTTTTCTGTTCTGTCTTCAATGTATGTGTTTTGTTTTCTCCCCTCCTGTTTTCTCTCAGGTCTTCTGGCTGGCTTGCACTCCAGCCCACCCCACACAGCGCCTCTCCCACATACTGCTGTGTCCACCCATGTCCCACAGAGTCTGCCAGGTAAATGCCAGGTGGGCAGTGTGCCATGAGCCCTGTGGGCCATGCCCCTCCACCCTTAGATGCTTTGCTGCTGCCACTTTGAGCCATCTCTGCTTCACCATTACTGTTTTGTATTTTGCTTTGTCTTTTGAGACTCTGGCTCTTTGGCTTTGGGTTCCAGAAAAATACAAGCCTGAACTACCAGAGGCTTTTCCTGGTTTCCTTTTGGAATGGCCGTAGGCTCTGGCTTAGCCTGTGTGACAACAGTATATGATAGAGCCTGAACATGAAACAGAGTGCTCCAACTCTTAATATGCATTTAAAGAGAAGAAAGGTAATGGTGGCTCTTGTCCAAAGGTTAACCAAGCACTGCAGGGCCTTCATGGTGAAATACTACACACCTGCCAGGCATTGTCAGGTGGCAGATGCTCTTTGAAAGGAATGAATATCCACAGAACAGGAAGAGAACATAATACATGACTGTGAGAGAGTTAGTATGGACCCAAAAAAGAAGCAGTTTTCAATCCACCCTGGTGTAAACCTTCCTTTAAAACAGATTTGGAAGCACACCAAATGGTGCTTCTGGAAGTAGGCAGCTCCAGAAGCCCTGGGTACATGTATTGCCATCTTGAGATCATGAGAATGGGGACTATTGACCACAGGCAGCCATCTTGTACTAAGTGTACTGGTCTCACTCTGTCCTGATTGTTGGATTCTTACAGGTACCTTATGGGATTTTGGCTTAGGAACCCAATGAGAAAACCTGATTTTGACCTAGTGTTCTGAACAGAACCCAGGGCTATACTTGGGAGAGGAGGGCTGAGCTTCGGGATCATGGGGACTTATATAGAGCAGGAGTCAGATGCAGACTCCATGGCTTTGTGTGCCTTTGACTGCTCATGAATAGTCTGCTGACAGCTCCTTGTCTGCTTTGTGATCTGCTTGTGTGTTCCCTGTACCCATGTCTTAAAAGCTGAGAACTCTAGTGAGTATCAGAGGCCTTGTTAGGATGAGGGTGAGTTTGTAGGTTTCTTTGAGAAGCAAAGCCAGTGTCAGTTGTCATTCCTTTCCTCTGAAGAAGCAGTCACATCTGAAGACTCCTCTGCACTGGTGGCTGTCACTAAGTGCAGTGTGGGTGACTCCTCAGCTCCTGAGAGCCTGTGTGGTGTGAAAGTGAGATGGTGCCACCTCCACTTGCTTTGGAAATGGCCCTCTTTGAGAGGAACAAAGTAAAGTAATTGAAGAGTAGAAACAAACTCTGGGTCTGTGGAGTTTTCAGTCAACAGAGGTGAGAGGGAGACTGGATAGGGAGACAAAAAACTTTTTGTACCCTTTTCCTGCTTTCCCCTTGGTCTTCCCAAGCTATCTGAAGGATTGGGGATGTAGTTCAGTGGTTGAGCACTTGCCTAGCCTATATAAAGCCTCAGCTCTATTACTAGTACCACAAAGAGGAAAAGAAAAAACATTGTAGACAATCAAAAGAGCAGCTACGCAAATGGGTTAGCAGGGAGCTAAGACTTGTTTCTGCTCTGCTTTCCCTTCCTCCCACGTGGACTTGATGCTGTTGCTTTTGCCTTTGTCCCTGTGTTACCTCAGTGCATTTTGATGTCAAGAGAATGAACATTGTCTGGATTCTGTGTGGTCATCAGGCCTTGCAGTGGCCCTTGTCATGTTGCAGAGTTCCTGTTCTGTAGATAGTGCTCTTGTCCCCCTGCCTGCACAGTGCTAGTGCTAGTGCTCATGCATGATATAGGATACTGCAAGTAGCAATACACACAGCCACTGTTTGGGGACATTTGCTACTTAACATTCCTGTGAAGTTTGTTTATGCTGTCTAGAGGAATTGGAGTGCTTAAAGAATGCTCTGTTTTTGCTTACTCTTTTCCAGATGCTTCACAGCTTCATGGGAAAGGGCCTGCTGTACCAAGGAAATTGTGACCACTTTGGAAGATGGAATCAAATGACATAGGTCTGGGAGGAAGTCCAACATGTAGGTCTCTGATATCAGATATTTGCTGTGCTCTTCCTGTCCACTGCTTTGCTTCTGGAGCAGCAATGAGTTTGAAATGGAGCACTTCTTAGCACTTCTGATCGGCCTTCAACCAAGGGGCAGCTTCTGCTGCTTACAAAGCTCTTACTGACTTGGTGCTCTGGGCCTCATGGCTTTGTCGCTGGACGACATCAAGGGGCAGCTCTGGGCTGGGAAGTGTGCCTAGACTGTGTTGGGAAGCACAGTGTGCATGAACTCCTGTGGCAGATCTGTTGGCTACTGGGTTCTAAGTCTGCCCAGCTCCTGGCATTTGGTGTATCTCAGAGCTTCCTACTGGTCAGGGACTCCTCCTGGCCTCAGTAGAACCCCTGGATTGTTGTGATTCCATCCCATCCTCAGGCTGTGTGCTCAAGAGGACAAAACCCAGGTCAGAGCACAGGTGGGATACCTTGCAAAATACTAAGAACACCTAATGTGTGCTCTTGTAGGGGCCAGTTTCTTCTCCTCAGAACATGACAATGAAGCTCTTATAGAGAAAAAGATCTTTATAGATTCAACAATTGTGGTAGGATTTTTAAAGACACCTATCTTGGGCTGTTTTTGTCATTACCATTGAATGCATTGGATAGAATGGGACTGCTCTTCACACATCACATTATAGGAAGACTTAATTCCAGTGCCTTTTGGTGGAGCAGACTTTGACAACTCAAATCTATCCATTCAGCCCCCTGAGTGGATCTGAGATGAAGACCTTTTTTAAAGCTAGTCTGTATTTAAGACAGTTTTATTTAATTAGGTTTTTTATGACTGCACATCATAATCTGTGCCGTCCTGACTTGAAAGTCATCTGAGCCCCCAAATCCCAGGTTTTCATGGAGCTACAGATCTGTCTTGTTTTTGGTTTTTTTTTAGAGTTGATGCAGGTGGGCTGCCGGGGAGCTCCTCAGTCCTCTGTGTCTGAGAGCCCAGGGGTTCCAAGCCACAGGTAGACATTCCACTCTGTCTTATTAGAAATCTCTCTGGCAGAGCTACAAGACAGGCCTCTGAAGCTTCTGCCACAGAGAACAGGTCTGGGGTACTGGTGCTGTCTGGACAGCCAGCGGCTGGGTGGACTTAGGGGGATGTGCAGAGGGTCTGGAGAATGGACAGAGGACAAAGATAGTGACTACAGATCTTCCATCACTAGGCTACCACACTCATCCAGTGACTATTTCATATGGATTTGGAGGGCTCTTGCCTATCCTGTTAATCTACCACACAGTGGGTCTGGCTGACTGCCTATCCAGACAACATTTGGGAAGGTGATCAGCACTCTCAGTGCCCACCCAGGATGAGTCTGGTGTGCTTTTGGTTCCTGCCTCAAGGATTGGAACGCAGTAGCTCTCTATTCCTGTGGAGGTGGCCACCTTTCCACCTTACTGGGAGCAAGACTTTTGTCAGTTCGTTGGTCCAGCCTCTGTTATGATTCCTTCTGTATGGAAGAACCAATTGTTTTCACATTGGGCCATGTGGATTCCTTATCCTTTTATTACATATATTTTTTGCAACTTGGATTTCCAGTTTGTTTACAGAATAGTCTTAGGTAGTAGCAAAAAGAGCCAAAGAAGAGATTTGTATAGCTGAGCTCTAAGTCGAGCTGAGGCCGCCAGCAAAGCTGAGCAGTGGGAACTCTCCAGGCTCCTCTGTCCGTCAAACAACGGGCCCCAGCACCCCACCCCTTTGGTGCTCCCTTCTCCCCATGTGCCACTGCGTGTGCAGCTAGAACAGGATGCCCTCATCTTTAGGAATCTAGCGATGCCTCTTGCCTCAGGGAAACGTTTCTTTGATGGGGAGTTAATGAGATTTCTTTTCCTTGTTTATGCTTTATTTGTGGTAATGAAAGAGTGAGTGACTTAAACAGCCATGGCCAGGGAGACCTGCAGCCCGGCTACAGCAGAGGGTGGGGGTAGAGAGCGCTCAGTGGGATGCAAGGGTTTCTTTGGTGGGTGTAAGGCTCTGAGCACTTAACCAGGCGTGGCCGTTTCTTAGGTGTGAGAGGGGCTGTGGCTTTTGTGCAGCAACTATGTTGGTGTTAGGGGGTGGTGTGGAAATTGTTAATCTTGTATAAAGCAACACAATAAATTGTTTTTGAGGTTTCCAAAATGTCTTTCCTATTTGTAAGTGATTCCTCAGTACATAGGAGCCTCGGTGTGTATAGAATGCTCATTGTGGCTGAGAGCCAAGGATCAACCTCATGTAAAGGAATCATACTTGCTCTGAGATAAAATCAAGCCACCAGATTTTTATTTTCATGCCATAAATAAAGTTCCCTATCATTTCCCATTTTCTTATTAATACATGAGATACAGAGAAGCAGAAATTTGTGTGATGAACAATCAACTTTCGTATATTTAAATACCAATGAGATAATGAGGACTTGTAAGGCTGTAAGGTACTGAAAGTAAGGCTAGCATACCATCCATTACTAAGATCTTTCCATTTCAGAACTAGGAAACAGTTGTTGATGCCTGTCTTTCTGGCACATCCTGGCTAGCTTTCTAGCACCAAGAGCCAGGCATTATGGATTCTGGACACACTTATAACCCATTCTGTCTCATGGGAGGAATCACTACTGAGCAGGTATTGCTCATAGTTTGGTCCCAGCCAGAAAGCTGAAATGGTGAGGAGGGTCAGCAGCACTAGTGACCCAGTCTTGATGAATAGAAAGAGGAGGCCTTCTGCCCTCAGTGTTACTGTGTGACATGCTAAAGCTGTTTTTGTGAATGTGTGTACAATATTTTCTTGTGCTGTAGTTTCCAGTTACAAGCACTGATGATGGAGCATATAGAAAAGGGAGAGAAGAAAATATCAAGGTTATTAAATCATTAGAGTTGGGAGCATGTCACTCACTCAGACTGAGTAATGTTGAGCTGAGAGTTGCCTACACAACTGGTGTCTGTGCTGGTATTACAATAGCTGCTCTGTCAGCAGCCAGATACAGTGGGGATAAAACACTTATTAGCTCAGAAGCCTGCATGAGGACTGGGGAAGAGAAGACACCAAGGAGGTTGCTGAGTAGGAGCAAGCCAGCCATCCCGCTCCAAGAAAAGCCAGGCAGAAGAGTAGGGCCTACTTCTGCCCAGAAACCAAGACTGCCAGCTCCTGAATGGACATATCCTTGTTGACATAGCGGTCATACTGAGCAGGGGTTAGCCTTCCACTATGCAGAGCATCCTCAATAGAGAACTTCTTGCCAGACTTTCTGTCATGAATCACTGATGACTCCCCATTAGGGCCTTTCACTGATATCTCCTCCCAGTCGCACTCCTGGCTTCTGAGCTTCACAAACATGTTCCAGTCGATGAGCCCCGCCCGGTGGGCCTCCTCTGGGGACAGCTCGCGGCCTGTGTCAGGATCAATGACTACTATGGAGCGCCTCAGGTGGTTCTCCCTCTGCTCTCTCTTGACGGCTACAGAGCCCAGTCGCCTCTGCAGTTCATCGATCTCCAGATCCTTGTCCTTGGACATCTTCTTGAGGTCATCCAGTTCCTTCTCTAGAGACCACAGCCTAGAGTTGAGGTGGGTTCCAGAGTCCACCTTTGTAATGTTCCTCAGATCTCGAGTTTCAGTTGCTGCCATTTCAATCTCTGATTGGAGTCTCCGGGTCTCCAGCTGCAGGTTTTGCCGCTCTAGCTGCAGCTTATGATTTTCTTCTCTCAGGAAATCTAGTTCCTTGGATGACTTAGAATTGCAGAATTCTAACTCCGATAACTTGGCTTCCAGCCGGCTCATCTCTACATCCAGCTCCCTCTTGCTCCGGCTCTCCTCTTCCAGGCTCTTCTTGAGCCGCTGGATCTCTTGCTCAGTGTCACCTTTTTCCACTTGGACACTCTCAGAGAAAACCACCTTTTCCTTGATCTCTGTCTTCTCCAGGGTAGCCAGCTTTCTACGAAGGGGTTCAAGCTCACCCTCCAGTAGCTGCCTCCGATGCCGCTCTTCCTCCAGCTGGGCTCGGAGCATGGCATGCTCCCTGGTCTGCTGTGGGTCCTGTTGCAGCACCACCTTCTGTGTGTGGGTCACCTTCTCGCCAGCCTTGGCCTCTTCCTGCTCCAGTGTAGCCAGCCGCTGCTGCAGCCTCTGCACCTCCAGCTCAGCTGCCCTGCGTGCCTGCCGCTCACGCTCCAGTTCCTCCAACTGCCTCTCCAGCTCTGCTCGGCGGTGCTGGAGCCTCCGCAGCTCCACACGTAGCTTGTCGATCTGTCGTAGCTCAGCATCAATGCTGTCTGTGAAGGCAGTCACCTCAGCTCTTAAATCTGGCTCATCTTCATACTGCACCACCTCCTGGCGTACAACCCTTTCTTTGCCCTGTGCCAGCTCTTCCTCCTTACGTCGGATCTTCTCTTCCTGGGATGCCCGCTCCCCTTCTAGGTCCACCTGTTTCTTCTGTTCTTCTGACAGCTTTATACGCAGAGACTCTACCTCCTTCTTGGTTTGGGGGTCTTCCTGGAACTGCAGGATCTCCTGGACCACCTCTCTAGTCTGCACCTGTGGCTTGGTGTCCTTCAGGGCCTGGATCTCCTGCTTCAGCTGGTAGATCTCCAGGTCACACCTTTCTATTAGCCTGGTCTTGTCCATGATCTCCTCCCTGAGCCGCTGGAGCTCCTGCTCGGTCTCTGGGTCAGTAGTGTATTTAATGACCTCTTTGGTCACCTCTTTGACTTCTACCTGTGGCCCACGCTTCCGGAGGGCCTCCAGCTCACTCTGGTAGCTCTTCAGCTGCTCCTCAGCAGCCCTGAATTTGCGCTCCTGCTCCACCAGCTCCAGTCGGAGGTTGGCCACTTCACTCTCTGCCTTGGGGTCTGGTCGCACGATCTCTCGGACCTTCTCCTGGACCACCACCTTGGCATTCTCCTCTTCCAGTGCCCATATCTTTCTGAGAAGCTCTGTCTTCTCCCGCTGGCCAGTGCGTGCCTTGGCAGCCTCATCCTCATACTGGCGGGTGAGGTCATTGACTTCCCTCCCTGTGGCTGCATCTTTCTCTACCTTGAGCACCTCCTTGACGGTGATCTTGCCTTCTGCCATGGCCCGTTCTTTCTCCAGTCTCCTGAGCTTGGCCTGCAGGAAACTCAGCTCCTCTTCCTGCTTCTCCCTGAGTGTACCCGCCTGCTGGTGCTCATCTTGCAGCCTTCTGTATTCTGCCTCCAGCTGAGGGTCATTCTGCAGCTTTACCACTTCCCTCTCCGTGACCTTCTCCTGCACTCTGCTCTTCTCAGCAGCCAGGGCTGCCACACGCTGCTGTAAGAGGAGCACCTCAGCCTCCCGGGCACCTTTCTGCCGCCGCAGTGCCTCCAGTTCCTCCCGAAGCTGCAGGACCTCATCCTCTTGGGCTCTGTCTGGCTCAATGCGCAAGACCTCCTTGACCACATACTCTTGACCCCCATCCCTGGTCTCCTGCTCTAGGGACTGCAGCCGAAGCTGTAGTGCTCCTAGCTCCTCCTGCAACAACTGGTTCTTGCGTTGTTCATCAGCCAGGGTCTGCTGCAGCTGCTGGAAGCTCTCCTCCAGGGTGGGGTCTGGCACCTTCTTCAGCACCTCCTTCCTCACCAGTGACTCTTGAGGTCCCTGATCCTTCAGGGTCTGGATTTCCTCCTGGGCACTCCTGACCTCATTTTCCAGCTGCTGCCTTCGCTCCATCTCCTCCTCCAGTTCCTTCTTAATCTTCCATGTTTCCTCTGTGCCGGAGCCCAGCTTGCCCCCTTGCAGGGTCTCATGGGTCACTCCTGCTTCTGGCTGCTGTGGCAAAGAAGACTGTGTGGTTAGAGACAAGCAGGTCTGCTCACCTAAACAGGTTGGACTAGTTGTCCTGTGATCTTCAGGGGACTTCACTAGTCTTCTAGAATTACTTTTACTCTTAACAATTGAACAAGGCAAAATTTTGTAGGCACGGAGGAGTTTGAAGTGACACCAGTCTCCTACCTCTGCCCTGTCCTTAGGGGATATCTGTTGTCCTTGGAGACATTTTCAAAGTATATTTTTAGTGACCTCCACGTTTACTTTTTCTATGCAAACAGTAGTCTATTCTGCCATTACTTTTTTTTTTTTTTTTTTTCCTTTTGGTTTTTCGAGACAGGGTTTCTCTGTATTGTTTTGGAGGCTGTCCTGAAACTCACTCTGTAGACCAGGCTGGCCTGGAACTCACAGAGATCCACCTGCCTCTGCTTCGTGAGTGCTGGGATTAAAGGCGTGCTCCACCAACGCCTGGCTTGTTCTGCCATTACTGCCTGGAGGGGTAGAGTACCATCTTGGCTCAAGGTGCCACATCATTGCTTAACAGCAGTGTTTACACTATGTGGACACTGTTTAAGCCAGCATACTGCTGAGGAGTGCTGAGTTACTGCTAGTTTCTTGATGTGTCAGATAATTCTGCCATAAATGTCATCAGGTCCTAAAAGCTATCTTTTGGGACTGGAAGGATCAAGTCCTTGGGAGCACAAGGACTTGAGTTCTGTCCCTAGCACTGACACAAAAATGTTGGGTGTGGTGCTCTAGTGTATATGCACTTGTAATCCCAGCACCAAGGAGGTGGAGACAGGAAGCTCCCTGGGGCTTGCTGACCCACTAGTCTAACTTAATTGATAAGCTCCAAGCCAATAGAAAACCTTCTTGTCTCCACACACAAGAGCACATATGTGAATTCACGTACACAAACACACCATTAAAAATAACTGTGGAGGCTGGAGAGATGACTCGGGGGTTAAGAGCACTTGTTGCACTTACAGAGGACCCAGGTTCAATTCTCAGCACTCACATGGTGGCTCACAACCATCAAAACTCCAGGTCTGGGGGATGCAATGCCTTCTGACCTCCTCAGGCATCAGGCACACATATGGTACACACACATACAAGCAGGCAAAACACTCGCAATAAATAAACAGATAAATAAATAAATTAATTTTTTAAAAAGCCTTTAGTAGGTCCTTAGCAAATGCCTTTTGAATTGGTATGGACATTATTCCATGCTAGTCTAGAAGGCTGGCTCAGGCTAACATTTGCATTGGTCCTTCTCAGGAGAACATTCATGGGCTGTGTCTCTGAGGCAGAGGAGTCTTTGGTTTCTCATCTTGTAGGACAGTCAAAAGTAGTTCTAACTAAAATGGATTACC